TACAAAAATTAGAGAGGAAAATATTACATTGGACTAAGCGTTGGAAAGTGACATATGATGGACATGAACGCAACACTGCTTTCCACCTCTCATGGACATGCCATGGATCATCATAGAACATGCTGTATGTCTATGTCAAACCGCTCATGAGCCAATGTTACAAAAAATGTGCCAATGCCTTTTTTAATAAACGTATGTCACTTTGTCTTGAGCCTATGCCACAGGTCATAAGCTTTTGTCACCTTTCATCTAGAAGCCACTGGTGGTATTAGGCCAGTGCGTTTCTGCTTTTTCTTCAGGGTTTATTCTGAAGAACAAAGTTCCATGGCAGTTGAACATGAAGTGAGTAACACGTGATCCCAGGCAATATTGAATTCCCTGGACAGCAGAGGCAAAAGAGAAAATCAACACAGACTAGTATCTTACATAAGGCTTTGGTACAGCACCATACAGTAGATGAGTTAATTGCTCACATAAAAGTTAAGTGGAAAATAATTCCTGATGTCAATCAAAAAGAACTGAGTGATGATGCTCCAAATTATCAGCAGGTTATTATTCTAAAATAGACAAAAAAGTAAAAGGTATTTTATGTTTTTGCTTTGGAATATTTACATATGAACAGTCTGATATCCATCAGTTGTTTCAGTTAAAAAGGCATATTGAAACAGATTATGCGCATTAGACGTCAACATAAAATATAGAATGTAAACGTGTGATGTACAGCACACGCACACGGCTCAATGGATGAAAATATGCTATGACATGACTACATATTCTTCCTTTAAGCACTACTGGTTTGCTTGAGGACGAGGAGCATTAGTTAAAACAGTCAAAGATGTAGCGCTTATTGTACAGTAATAATACATTCTATTTCCTCAGTGCTGGTACACATGGAAAAACAGATAACATAGAAAATACTACATATTCCATTTTCTGTCTGATCACAACCAGGTTGAACGTTTATGACTGATTGCTGAATAGGATTTTTTGTATTGTCTCTACATGCAAGATAAATATAGTTAAATCAAATTTGCTCTAAGTATAATCCTACAAGCTCCTGCACTAAATGCCTTTAAGCAGAAAAACACAAAACAAAAGTCGATCTAACAGTACAGGATCTTAATTTGATTGCACTGTTGCAGGATAACTTTCCTGCAATGCAGGATATTTCAGAATTGTAGTGTATTTGAGGTTTAAAAAGGCTTCTGAAGTTTGTAATTTCCACTTTGACATTTCAGACTTGATTTTCCCTTAAGAAAAATTTAGCAACCCCTACAAAAATGTCCATTAATTATAATCGTTATAATAATTCACATTTTCTCTTGCTGCAGGTTTATTTTCCTGCTGTAGCATACTGGCTCAGATTAAGATCCTACATCTGTACCTCCAAAGTAGCCCTCTTACATACTGTATGTTTTTTTCTTATTTTTTTTTAAAGCAAAAGAGCCCGGAAGACTACATACATTAGTAACATTCTACATGGAGAATGTGTCAGCAATACCTTTACCAAAACATACGAGAAGAATCAGCTTAAATACAAACGCTGTTTGATGAATACTCTTATTGGCTATACTGTACAATACTGTCCCCCAATAGGAGACTTTTGCGACAACAGTGGAGAGAAATCACGTAAGAAGGTTATGCCCCTGCAGTAGTGTGCTTGAAAACAGTGCTGTCAATCAAAAATAGTTTTGACCTGTAGGAAGTGTGTAGTGTAGAACAACCTTCTCATGCCCTGACCATGGGCTCAGATTCCCTCCCGTCTCCTGTTATATATTTAATACTGATCCAAAGTACTGATAAATAACTTCACACCAAGTAGGTTTCCCCATCTAACCTGGATATTATATCTCCCCATCAACACAAGTACAACACTTTGGAGAGGGTACCCTGGAAGCACAGAGAGAGGCTGTAACAGAGACAGAAACTAACTATTGTTCCATTGACTGCTACATTGTTCTAAGTCTCTTTGATGTATTTTATGAATGTCACCACACTATCTATTGACACTATCTGATTCCACAATCAATACAATTTGCTCATTGCCAATCACACTAGTTTACTAATAGGACCTACAACGATGGAACTAGTTGAGTTAGTAAAACACAGAGGACTTCAAGAGATTAGGCCTCTGATCTACAGCACCACAGAGTTAAACATAGCACCAAGTCATAATGTTGAAAGCAACTACGTCCTAGTAGCACGTACATCATCTCTAGCTAATGTAAACACGACTTCGGTTGCAGCACATACAGTACCCCATAACTATGACATTGTTTGTGGCTCAATGAAAAATGTGGTCTCGCTTTTGTTTCTCTCATACTTTGGACATCTGAAGGCAAGTGATCATGAGTGAATCTACCTGTGTGCTCGTGAGAAAATAAAAGTAGTTTTCTGTTCCAGATAAGGTTTAGTCCAGCGACGACACCTTGATGCTTCTAAAGCTTTTCAAATTGGTATTCATTCACATACTATACAACAGAAGAAATACTACTGAACTTGTGCAGCCAACAGGCCCAAATGACAATAACACATTTGTTCTGTGCTAACATTTACTTTTCCATAAACAATGTCTCCGAAAATATGACAAACGAGGCACCTTAATAAGTTTTATAAATATTGTCCACTTCATGCCTTAAAGCAAATACTTTCATCACATCTAATATAATTTGCTTTAAATCTCTATCTATAGTTTTGTCCTCAAGCATAATGGACATGGACAGAAAATCTTTCTGTTTAGTTTCATCTTTACAAATACAGTACACACCATGTATACATTATAAATATAGATTTTCCCCATATCTTACATATAACTAATTCTTAGAATATGCACGTTGATGTATCAATTTCAAACAACTTCATTCCACAAAATCGTCACTATCGCACTAATAATAAAACCAATACGTTGGAAAGTGAGTGAAGAGGGCAGATAAAGTTGATGTTTTGATCACTGAATTGTATTCTATAGTAAGCAGAGAGGAGTTCAATTAACATACATTCAGAGAGTTGTTATGTCTAGTTCAACTCCTGAATTGCTATCAGTAGAGATAAAAGTGACTCCAAGTCAGACAAATGGGTTTAAAATGTAAATGTCTTCCAATGATTCATCTTGTAAGTTTGTAAGCTTAAAGCTCTCTAATAGATCTAGTCTACAGGGTGAGAAGAAAAGTATAACAGTAACCATCAGTGTAAAGGAAAGCATTCAACCAACAGTTGTTGAACCCTTCCTTGGCTAACCAGCTAGCCTCTTGTGATAAATCAAATAAATCTATTGTGCCAACTAACCAATTAAACCTAAACTTAATACCACCACATGTGACAGGTCATCCATTGTACTATGACATCAGGACATTCCTTTCCTGTACAGCAAAACATACAGTACATTCATTATCGGTTAGTGTTAAAATGAATAAACATACAGAGAAATAGCTAGCAGGTAATATTATACAGTTGTTAGAGAGATAAATAATAACAGTCGAGAGTCGAAACAGCCACCCCATCTTTTGAGTTTCACCTTAGTTATTGTAACACAAATGTTGTCACTTGTCATCTAACAAGCCCACTTGTTAAAATAGCATTATAAAGCAAGAGCAATCAGATCTTTCAATACAGTATTCAATATTACAGTTGTTTTGAAATATGAACATCAGTGGCAAGTTTCACTTTCTGCATAATAACTACTTCTGTACCATTACATTTAAATGTTGGTTTAATTGTGATTTTTTGAATCTATGTTATAACATTACCACAATTTGAAACCTGAAATGAATAACACTGTCATCATAATCACTAATTGTTATTACAGGTCTGTTCTATTAGTAGAATATACACAGTCAAGATTTTTTTTTTTAAGAATCAGAGTAATGCATCTTCAGTACCACTTCCTCACAGCTAGGTATCCTTGGCAGATAATGAGTCCCAACAGAGAGAGAGAATGTGTGAAGGCGAAGGAAAAGGCAGTTAATTCACTTTTCAAAAACAAGAGAGAAAAGGCAAACAAGGCACCTAGAGATGTGCCAAATTCCACAAATGACTCAAGGTTTCCTCCATATTAATGAAAAACACTGTATACACATCACATTTCCTCACCCCTTTTCTGTCCTCACCCTATCAAGTGTACATTCGGCCTCTTTTGAACACAAGGTTACTGTATGTCATAGCAATAAGAACATGGGCTCACCTTTACTGGATGTGATCACATGGTTAAAGACTTTGAGCCAACATGCAAGAGAGTGAGGACATGTCTTTTAGTGGTTTGAAATGTACCAATATCATATCGCGCCTTGTATTGGATGATAATATTATTTTGGGACTAAGCAAAATATGCAGATTGGGATAGATATTAAAAGCGGATCAAATCAGATTTCAGGCCATAGCATCCATTTCATATGTGAAATGTATGATACTATATACCATTTCTTTAACACATTTCATTTGAAAAATAATGTAAAATACGTACAGTATATACCACTAGAATTACAGCAATTCTATGCTTACTCTGAGGTATATTTTGTGATAAGAACCCTGTGTTAGATACTGACACTATTTGAATTTTAGGAAAGGTAGACTGAGGTCCTTGTTTAAGGAACGCAGCAGGTTTTATAGTCCACTGTGTCACCGTAACACCTCAGATAGACTCCTCCATGACCAGTGACTTTTAAGGTGTTGTGAATTATTTAGATCAATGCATTTTACTACAATAGGATATTTTCTCCCCTTATTTCATTATTTTATGTATTTACATTACAGGTTTTTTATCTGGTGACCCTCACTACATTATCCTCAGGGAGATACGGAAAACCTCTTTATTTTGTTTCTAAATTATTTGAAAAATGCTAGAGACAGGTTACCCACTGCCAAAAGCTGAATGGAATTAATCATATGATTATCATCATTAGTGTATGGGAGTTATAGGGAGATCTATGTTGGCGGGTCAATGTAGTCGTGTCCCATGGCTTGGGCAGTCTGTGAGTGACAGTAGTGGACATACTGGTCAGTGGTCAGTGTAGAGTCCCGTAGTTGGGCCCGTCTGAGTCTGTACTGGCCAGGATGGCTGCCTGGTCCTCCTCAGAGCGTCTGCTGCGGCGCAGGAGGGAGGACAAAAAGAGATATGGGCTCTTCCTGTTCTGCCTTTTCCTCTTCCTGTGGAGGTAGAGATCTTCTCTGTGAGCCGGGGGGGTCTGGGATTGCTGCTGGGTCTGAGAGGGAGACACACCTAGGGAGGGAGAGGTAGTGTTATTGAGGATACAACACCAAGTCATTCAGTATGGCCTCTGACTCGTCTGTGCTGTAAAGCCAACAACTATGGTCGTTACATAGGCATGACAATGATAGGATTTGGCTTTACAGCACAAACAGGCTACAATGAACTCACTAAATGCTGTTCTTTTTGGTTCTTCTAACAGTTGTGTGTCGGCCTGTGGTTTATTCTTTAGTTCAGAGACTGACCTGTTCTTCTCCTGGAAGTGGAGTTGTTATTGGTGTTCGCAGCCACTCTCTTGGCTTTAGTAATACAGTGGTGTAGCAGTGTTTGTAAGCTCTCAGACCCGGCAGGATCACTAGACGCACCTAGAGGTTCCCTAGAAAGAAGAGGAGAGAGGCACAATACACATGCTTTACTTTAACCCACCACCGGGAAGCGCTATCCTCAGTGATTAGTCAGATGGGGAGTCAGGAGGACATTGATTCCGAAAGGCTCTGTAATATTGAACCATAAATAAACTGATGATTTGTTGAGAAAATCATTGGCTTTAGATTGTGAGGAATTAATAAAGTACTATGGATGAACTGTGTTAATTCTCAAAAAAATTATGAAGGAATACGTCAATATTTTGTCACTTTCAGATACCCATAAAATGAAAATAATCTCTATACTGTATTTGTAAGAACAGTTTACATAAGAAATGCTTCAGTTTCTATAGTTACTGAATTGCTCCTCTTGCTCTACAGTGAGAATCCATGGCTTGTCTGTTTTGTTGAGTGGGGCAACAAAGAGGATTCTCATCTTTTGATAGCTCTATGTGGATTATTTTCATTTTATGAGTGACATATCAATCAAAATCACCCTAATACTGAATATATTTTAATGCGTTAAAGATGAGCGGTATCTATCATTGGCTAATTCTAAATCCATGTCAAATTGAAGCACGTTGATGAGCTTTACACAGAAAGGTATCTGTTTTGAAATATACTTTTACCTCATAATGAATACTCTTGTTTTGCAGTCCATCATAGAAAGATGCAAGTAATGATACTAAGACCCAAAATAACCTCATCAACACCAAACATTTATGTTCAGGTTCATGAGATTAAATGTTTGTTGCCATTCAATGGATTGAATACACCAGCTTCAAAACCTAACTCGACGATATGTAAAGTCAAGTGATTCTGCCAAAACATATTGTTTCAAAAGGCATACTGTAGGAACACAAAGGTTTAGAGGTGTTGTCCTTCATAGTGTCACTGTAGAGAGAGAGATTGAGAGCCATTAGCAGAGAGGGGAGACAAATATGAAAATTAAAGCATTACTCGTTAGATAAATACAGTTGCATTTTCATAATCCCAAATACTGTGTGCAGGGGCCACAGTGAGTTAGATACGGTACATTTCCATCAAACATGAACACTGTACAGCACACTTTCATCAACATGAACACTGTGTACAGAGGCTTCACCATGCTGACGGGAGGAGATGGCAGGAAGAGGAAATGGCCGTTAAAGAACAGTCACATGACAGGAAGAGGAAATGGTCATTAAAAACAGTCACATGACAGAAACGAAAGCACTTAAGACGACGAATGTGACGAAGAATTTAGTCTTGAGAATTATTGTTATACGTTTGAGTCAAAAGAGAGATATTTAGAGAAGGCATGCATGGCATTTTGCACATGGAACAAAACTTTAAAGGGGAATACTCCAGTCTATCAGTAATCTGGGTCCTCTATTGATTCAAGGCTTTTTTGAGTGCAGGGAAACCGTGCCTGTATTTCAAATACTGCTCCACAGTCCAAAACAGCTCCTAATATTGCTCACCAGCCTAATCACTGTGCTCGACAGCAGGCATGTTGTGCCAAAGAACTGTAAGAAATGTAACCTGTATGTTAGCAGTTAGCATTTGAGCTAGCAAACTTGAATCCAGTAAAGAGGCTCAACCCAAAGTCAGCGATTCCCCTTTAAAGGAGAGAGTGATTAGAGCCCTCCCCTGCTGACACCTCCCCTCTCAGACATGGGTCCGACCCTTACCTATTGCGGCGTAGGGGACCGGCTCACAACAACGCTGCCCAGATAGCTGAGATCAATCAAAAACAGATGAGGTAAGACCCCTGAGCCCTCACACTCTACAAACCAGCAGGCCAGGCCTACACTATACTTGCCCAAATGACCATGACACTGTTAAGGGGTGGAAAAAGAGTGTGACCGCTTACACTAACCTGGCAATCCCTGGGATTCAGAAAGGTAGGAGGTGGGTGTGAGGGGGAAGGGGAGAAGCATGTAGGTATACAGTCAAAAGGGGGGGATTATATGCGCCTCAGGTATATTGCTCTCTTGTATGTCTTCTATTGTCCTGCAGAGCATGTACTGTATGACTATGTGGGTTTAATAGATCATAATTTGAGATTATCAAGTAGTCAAAATGGTCTCAGGTAAAAAAAAGAAAAAAAGAAGGTGTTTGGCCATAAATCTCAGATGTGCAGTAAAATCTGCTTTGGCCTTCAAATGTGTGAAGATCATTCCTGAATTAGAAGGCTTATCTGGGCAATAATGATGCTGAATATCATTTGAAAAAATTTGCTACCTTGTACATTTCATATTTCATTTGAGCGGTGGAAGGCACTCAACCTTTAAAGTAATATTTTAGTTTAGCTACAGTATCATTTACCACCAGTTAAATAACAGTAGCTGCCAAGGAAAGCCTCTGCTGAGATGTCATAGGTGGGCTATAATTCAAGGAAATCAACTAAATATGTAAGATAAAATATTACCTCACTACCCTAGTATTCAATCAATAAAAAACACTCTATATGCTAGTTAATTATTTAGTGAAGCATTCGCTCAAAGATCCCATAAGTCTGCCACCTGAAATCCTTTGTTGCAGATTGCATCTTAATGCAATTGTAACGTTTTACACATTCTTGGTTAGGCAGTTAAAAATCACCTTTTCTTCCGAAAATGAGTCGCCATACAGAGAAAAACACAAATATCTTATAAATAATAATTACAGAATTCAAAGATCAATATCAATATTTTAGATGTGACTTTGTTCTAGGGTTAAATTATAAAATGTGTCATAAGGACTTTTTATGTAAAACCTACACTTTAAAAGTATGAATTTCATAATTTGCCTTGATTCAAATGGGTATATTGACAAAATTTGAATTAATAACTTGTTTATGACTGATCAGATGTGTGCCAGATGCAAATACATGCTTTCTGCATATAAGCCTAAATATGTATTATTGGTATGCCAAAAGTAAAACATTACGTCATACTCTATAAACTGGGGATACATTTAGAATTGAGTGCCCAGGTTGGAGAAGTTTATTGTGTTCGTTAGTTAGTGCGTTGCTGTCCCTGCCGGACCGGTGTAGGTCACCTACCCTGAGGCGGATATCTGGAGCTGGGAGGGCTCTGAGGGCAGCATCTCCTCCTCTGTCCTCCTCTGGGACGGCCACTGCCCGAACACATCCCTGCCCTCCAAGGGGGGAGAGGGGGACTGGGAGGGGTAACTGGCTGCTGTGGAGGCATAGGACATGTGGGGACGGTAACTGGGGCTGGGCCTGCGGCTTCCCTGCTGGCCCTGGGTGGGGGAGGTGGCCAGGGAGGACCTTCGGGAGAAACTGACGGTGGCTTGGGGGTGCATGGAGATCTCAGGCATCTCCAGAGAGCGGGATGTGCGGAGGATGCTGGGGTGGGGCGGGGGGCGGACTAGAATATCTGGGGAACCTGGCTGGGTGCTAAGAGGGCTCTGGGAGAGGGGGGACAGGCGGGAGGGCTGGAGGACCAGCGGGGGCAAGGAGGGGTCTGTCCTACGCCCTGACCTCGGGCTGAGCCAGGACTGGGGGCTGCTGCTAGGGGCTGTGCTTGGGCTCCCTGCACGGGCTGCCGGGTCAGGGTAAGGCAACACTGGTACACCCACACCGTGGGATGTGTGTCTGAGCTGGCCGAGACTCTGGGCCTGTTGCATAGCTAAGCGCCTAGCTGGAGGGCCTGGGGGTCGGTCCCTGCCCTGCGGAGCCATTGGGACCTCCAGCTGCAGGAGCCGAGGGCTTGGGAGGTGCAGGCGGCTGGGGTGGAGAGGGGGGTACGGTGGAGGGTCGGGAAGGTCCTGGTGATGATGTAAGGGGTGGTGAGGTGGATAAATGAAGCGGGGCCCCTCCAGACCAAGGAAGGGGAACTCGTGAGGCTGCCAGCTGTCAGGTGAGCGAGGGGAGCGAGGGATAGGGCTGTGTGGATGTGGGAGGGAATGGCCAGAGGCAGTGTACTGATGATGGAGCTCCATCTCTTCCCTCTCCTCTGGGATGGAGGGATAACCGTAGGGCCCCCCGTCAGCAGTGCCTGGGGGGGAGGACAGAGCGGAGCTACGCGGACTGATGTCAGGCATGTAAAAAGGTGGCGGGATCCCCGATTCCCCGCGGCTGCCTAGATACCCATAGAAGGGGACCTGTGGAAAGTCCCTGTAGCGGGAGGCTGGGGCCTGCCCTGCAGCATGATGCCCACTGCCCTCCACAAAGCTCATACCTTCCATGGGCCTGTGGAGGCGGGGGCTGTAGTTGGGGGGCTGCGTGGACTCCAGGCTGGAGGATGTTGGTGAGAGCTGTGGTCGGAGTGTGGCCATGATCGGGGGCAGGGGCCCGGCGTCAAAGTCATTCTCCTCGTCGGACTGCCGGAACTCGGGGTACATGTCGGACTCCTCGGCGAACGGGAAGCCCTGGATGCGGCGGTGGGCTGATGGCGGGCTGGCCATGCTGAAACGACCGTCGGGACCGCGGCTGATCAGCTCGATGGGGCTGGTGACCTCTGCCTCATGCTTGGACACGCTGTACTTCTTGCTGGCTATGGCACGCTTGGTTTTCTTGTAGAAGGAGAGCTCTTTGTCCTTGTCTCTCTGAGGGCTTGGCAGCCTCCTGACGTACAGACCCGGGCCGTGGGCCCCATCTGAGGACAGGGACTGGGGCCGCGAGGCGGGAGGGGAGCTCTCTGGACTGATCTTCCCAGAGGACAGCCTGTCAGAGACAACCAACACAGAGGCAGACACTCAAACATGATGGCTTCATAATGAACCCCTTAAACAGCAGTTATTAATCAATAAACAGCCTAATTGTACACAGTAAAATAGCATGTTAACCACAGTATGCATCACTACTATGCTAGACAGATGAGAAAATCCAAAGCCATGGCACCATGTCAAAGCAAATACACCTGTTTCATTTGTATTCAACCTCTGCATTATGATAGTATCCAGTGCATTCTGCTAACATTGAAGCTAATGACTGTAGCCATGGCGACAGTATGAGAAAGGAACCGTTACCAAGCAGCCATGACAACCGTCTCACAGATCTTTTTTTACTCGCTCTTGGGTAAAAACCGAGGCCCATTTGTCTTGTTGGGGACATATGCTGCGCCAAATGCTTGTATGGCATAAAAATAAAGCAGATGACATCCAACTAGGCCTTTTTTTCTATTTGCCACACACCAGGAGCAGCATTGTAAACAACACAGTCAACTATAGAGTGCATATACACAGTACTGTACATGCAGCTGAGCCAACGCAAACACAAATCCCTATATGGTGCATATACTGTATACTGTGCATGCGGTTAGGCCAGCAGAGCACTAAGTAAATAAAATCTATAAAATTCATATATTATCCATGCAGCCAAGCCAGCATAGCGTAGTGCAGCACAGCACACACTGGTATGGTGCAAGCAGCTAGGCACTCACAGGGAGCTGGCTGGTGGGGGCATGTAGCTGCTCCTGGCTGGCGCGTCCCAGCAGGGCTCTACCCCAGGCAAGGGGGTGAGAGGAGGCCTGCGGTGGGAGACACACAAACGACATGGGCCACGGTCATCTGTCAACTAAACCAAACCTCCACACAACACAGGAGGGACCATCATGGAGTCACAAGAGGACCAGACTTAAACCAGATATAAACAACTGGAACATACATTATAATGCCATTTTCATTAACTTGACCATCTAGATATTCCAACAAGTCAACACATCCAATTCCTTTTAACATAGACCTCTCTCCAAACCCTTGAAATACACACAATATACATCCAAACCATACTCATGTCCTAGCAAAACTACCCTGCCCTGACAGTTGGTACTGAACAGGAGTGAAGCGAACAGAGACCATAACAATAACCCTAAAACAGGTAAAGAGGAGTTATTGTTGCATCTAAATTCAATCCAGTGACTACTGCATTGTGAATCGGCATAAGAGCTCAAAAGGTTGGCTCCTGTTTTTCTCTCTGGGTTTGACTTTAGTACTTACGGTGAGTCAATACTTTTCCTGAAGTGTGTTACAGACAGGGGAGGGTCTTAGAAGAGACAAAACAGAGATTTAGAGATTACAACCAAGACCAGAGAATGGACAGTAGAAGTTAGACAGTTAGAAGAAGTGGAAGCATACCTGGTTTGCGTTTGAGTTTGCGTCGGTGCTGTTTGTTGACGAAGCAGGCTGCTAGAGTACTGAAGAGCACTGCAGCCGCCAGAAAGCAGATGGTTGCCACGACGCCCGCTACCACAGGCCGCGCCAACCCCTCTTCAGTCACCTCTGTAGGGGGGAAAGGATCTGAGGCGGAAGAGGTACCCAGGGGTTCAGAAATGGGGGGGTGGAAATGGACTTTACCTTCAAATCATGAACTTCACTTTCAAATCATGAACCTCATGGAGGTAAATGGATTTAATGGAGTGACATATCAGCAGCATTTGAAAAGATTCCATTCCATTGTAGCTATTTGGGAATATTATTTGAATAATTCTGAATTGTAGTGTGTAATATATTAGGTGTAACACTTACCTGTGCTGGACACTCCCACCACATTACTGCTGTCACTGACGAGGTCATCCATGACGGCCATGACTCTGAACTCATACCACGACTCCTGCCAGGGACACAAGACAACTGTCCATTCCACACACATAACACATCCACAGTCCAATTTCCCTCAGCATAACAATTGTCTCAAAATAAAGGTGTCATTACCCCAAAACAACTGCCTTCTGCAAAAGAATACCGATAACGCTTTACATGAAGGTATACTTAGAATGATTTATATAGGATTTACAAGTCATTCATAAAGTGTTTTTATTATCTTATAGACAGTTTATGACACTCTAATGAACAGTCATTACACATCGGCAGCTGTCACTATAAACAGAGAGCATTGATTATACATTGAGGTATCTACGGTCCGTTACCTGGACGAGGTCCCTGGCCATCAGCTCAGTCTCAGTGGCAGGGATCAGCTCGTCGAGGACCTCCCACCTCTCTCCGAGACGGAACTCCATGATGTAGCGGTCGACAGGCGAGGAGTGATTGGCTGGCGGGAGCCATGTGAGTAAGACGCCGTGCTGCGTGCGATTGGCTGTGAGGCACCGTGGTGGAGTAAGAAGCACCTGTGGTTCAGGGGTACTCAGGGGAGACACTAACGGGACAATAGAACAGACCAGTTTTAGAAGGAAGTTAACCAATTCAAACAGCCATAACAAACCAGTTCATTCACATGTGATCAATCAGAGATAAACAGAAGATGGTGAGAGCAATTACAAACTGCATTCTAGAAGATAGCTCTAGAGAGCAGTAGTTTCAATGATAGTGAGCATACAGAACCAACATGACATGTCTGAAATGGACAAATCGATGTGCAAACATCTAAATGCAAATCCGTTGTATTTCAAGTTAAGGCATAACATAAGCTATAGAGTTATCTAAAAAAACATGCATTACAAAGAGTCTATTCTAGGTATCTACAGGTATCTAAATCCACACTTATACATGGGTTTTGTATTGTAGATATGTGATAGTGGCCTGAGGGAACACACTTAATGTGTTGTGAAAAGTGTTATGAAATGTAATGTCATGTAATATTTTAAATTGTATATAACTGCCTTAATGTTGCTGGACCCTAGGAAAGAGTAGCTTGCTGCCTTGGGCAGGAACTAATGTGGATCCATAATAAATACAAAATACAAGTATAGACAGCATCAGTCTAGTGTAGGAAGCTGTTCTGGTGCTGGTGCCACCTACCTACTGTGTTAACCGTCACGACCTCGCTGAAAGGGCCTGTGCCCAGCTTGTTCTGTGCCAGGACGCTGAACTGGTACTCTGTCCTGGGCTCCAGCCCCGGCACCACCAACCACGTCTGAGACCCCGACACCGGCATGGAGTGCCAGTCATGGGGGCCAAAATTCTCCTTTTTCAACCTTGGGGAACAGAAACACAGAGAGAGGTATCAATACTAACTAACCTGCACCCTGACTGTAAGGTCAATGGACCATACTGGTAACACTCATATAGCAGATATGGTGTAGATAGCTAGTCTTATGTAGCGTGTCTCTGTCAAACTACACAGGCAATGGGCCACAGTGTTGCAATACAATACAGTTGCTAGGCTATATTTCACTCTGTTTAATGTCCTCCTCACAGTCTTCATCTCTGTAATCTAAACTAAAGGTAATTAGATCAATTTGACTTATACATTTATCAGCAACAGCTCTCTGTACAAAGTAATTCATTATTTAAGTACACAAGAGATGCCTGCATGTATATGCAATGTTCCTCGAAGCACATGGTTTAATATTACAGTCAACAAATGTCCATTAAGTGCCATCAGGCCATGACAGAGAAATGGATGAGAATGGCTGTTAATATTAGACTGCCAAAAGCACCACTTCTATCAGATGATTTAATCACACACAGCCCCCATTCAACACAGTATGGCTCATATGACTGCTGACATGTACATAAAATGATAATAGTGATTTTATGGCACCTAGTGGATGTTGCCTAATAGAATGTTACTGCAATGTCTTTCCATTACATCCCATTACGCCTTTAATAAATGAACACATGAATTATGCATCTTCTGTGATTTACTGTATGCCCTACTCTTCAACAATGAAAATAATGTAAATACAAATACTGAGTAACTGAGTGTTATTACTGGAGAACTGAGTAATAACCCATCAGCATAGTGCTGTCAAAATGGTATTTGTTGATGGTAGTGGATACTGTTGCAGTAATTCAAGTAATTCAATTATCAATATTTCCTTATTGATAACAAATAAGATCCCTACATACCGTATCTATTGCAGATCAATCCCCAAAGTCTCTGTCCTCCCACCTCTATTAGGGGAATCAGCTGCAATCTGAGTATAAGATGTGATAGTAGACTAGAGCATGCTGGGAGTACTCACACTGGGCCGTACCACACTGAAAATGTCTGATCAAAGCCTCCGTCGTAACCCGGCTCCCAGGACACGTTGGCCGAGGTCACCGAGGGCAACACACGGATGTTGCCTGGAGCGTGTGGGCTGGTGCCTGAGGGTCAGAGAAAAGAGACTGTCATATTTAATACCAGAGCCATCTACAGTATACCTCTCTATATCTCTCTACTGTATATTGCTCTGGCCCACACTAAAGAGTGATAGAGCAATCTGTTAGGTCTATATGTACAGTACAGTGAAGGTTAGGATGACCATTCTACAATCCTTCAATAACCACAGTATGGGTCAAGTGTGTTATTCCCATAACAGCTGTTTTGTCAATGTATAAAAAGCCATCTCACTCTGAATCACTATCATTGTCCAAATATTTGTCCTATTAAGTCAAATAATGAAACATTGTGCTGTCATTACCATTCACAGTCCTCTACAATATACAACTGTCTACAATGGCTGTGAATGGCCTATCTGATTGGCTAATGCCCTGTACTGTGAGGTGTTGTTGACCAATGGTGATGTAAAGGTGAGTGAAGATCTATGGCTTGGCCAGACCGTCATCATCCCAGGCCCCAGCTGTGTGGCCAAGACCCAGCACCTTTTTACTGGGATTAAATGGAGACCTGCTGTCCTGACCACTACGGTCAGAAACGTAGCACCTCTGACACTCAGCACCTCTGACATGTCACCTGTCACTCCAGTGAGGGGACACTTGGGAAAGTGCCAGCTAGGTTGTATGACTGTGAGAGTCCTGAGGCATGCTTATTACTTATATGTACTGTAAACATGCACAAGCTAGTCACTTGTCTAAGCAGTACTTCAGTATACATACAGTACAGCTAGGACTAGGGTCATCATGAATTGGAACAGAGAGCTGCAGGGTTGCTGTCAAACCACTTCAATTCCACTTCAATTCAGATTAACTGAAATTCTGAACCCTGAAGAGCTGAGAAAACACAGGGGGGACTGTACTGATGACTAGGATCACCAGACATACAATACCAGTCAAATGTTTGGACACACCTACTTGTTCAAGGGTTTTTCTTTATTTTTACTATTTTCTACATTGTAGAATAATAGTGAAGATATCAAAACTATGGAATAACACATATGGAATCATGTAGTAACCAAAAAAGTGTTAAACAAATCAAAATATATTTTATATTTGAGATTCTTCAAATAGCCACCCTTTGCCTTGATGACAGCTTTGCACACTCTTGGCATTCTCTCAACCAGCTTCACCTGGAATGCTTTTCCAACAGTCTTGAAGTAGTTCCCACATATGCTGAGCACTTGTTGGCTAGTTTTCCTTCACTCTGCCGTCCGACTCATCCCAAACCATCTCAACTGGGTTGAGGTTGGGGGATTGTGGAGGCCAGGTCATCTGATGCAGCACTCCATCACTCTCCTTCTTGGTAAAATAGCCCTTACACAGCCTGGAGGTGTGTTGGGTCATTGTCCTGTTGAAAAACATATGATAGTCCCACTAAGCCCAAACCAGATGGGATGGCGTATCGCTGCAGAATGTTGTGGTAGCCATGCTGGTTAAGTGTGCCTTGAATTCTAAATAAATCACAGAGTGTCACCAGCAAAGCAACCCCACACAATAACACCTCCTCCTCCATGCTTTACGGTGGGAAATACACATGCGGAGATCATCCGTTCACCCACACCGCGTCTCACAAAGACACGGCGGTTGGAACCCAAAATCTCCAATTTGGACTCCAGACCAAAGGACAAATTTCCACCGGTCTAATGTCCATTGCTCGTGTTTCTTGGCCCAAGCAGGTCTCTTCTTATTATTGGTGTCCTTTAGTAGTGGTTTCTTTGCAGCAATTCGACCATGAAGGCCTGATTCATACAGTCCCCTCTGAACAGTTGATGTTGAGATGTGTCTGTGACTTGAACTCTGTGAAGCATTTATTTGGGCTGCAATTTCTGAGGTTGGTAACTCTAATGAACTTGTCCTCTGCAGCAGAGGTAACTCTAGGTCTTCCATTCCTGTGTTGGTCCTCATGAGAGCCAGTTTCATCATAGCGCTTGATGGTTTTTCCCGACTGCACTTCAAGAAACTTTCAAAGTTCTTGAAATTGTCCGGATTGACTGACCTTGATGTTTTAAAGTAATGATGGACTGTCGTTTCTCTTTGATTATTTGAGCTGTTCTTGCCATAATATGGACTTGGTCTTTTACCAAATAGGGCTATCTTCCGTATACCCCCCCCTACCTTGTCACAACAACTGATTGGCACAAACGCATTAAGAAGGAAAGAAATTCCACAAATTAACATTTAAGAATTTGTGGAATTTGTAAGAGCGTCTGCTAAATGACGTAAATGTAAATGTAAGAAGGCACACCTGTTAATTGAAATGCATTCCAGGTGACTACCTCATGAAGCTGGTTGAGAGAATGCCAAGAGTGTGCAAAGCTGTCATCAAGGCAAACGGTGGCTATTTGAGGAATTTGTTTAACACTTTTTTGGTTATTACATCATTCCATATGTGTTATTTCATAGTTTTGATGTCTTCACTATTATTCTACAATGTAAAAAATAGTAAAAATAAAGAAAAACACTTGAATGAGAAGGTGTGTCCAAACTTTTGACTGGTAGTGTACATGGGGACAGAGGGTTATGATGTCACAGTGGACGGTACCGATGACGAGGAGGCGCGTGCTGGCAGTGATGCTGGTGACCACATTGGTGGCCACACACTCCCATTCCCCATGATCCTCCTTGCTGAGGGACAGGAACTGTAAGCTGCCGCTGGATAGGATGTTGTGCTTACTCTTGCTGGGCTTTCCCACCTTGAACACACACATGCACACACACAAACACACACACACACACACACACACACACACACACAGTTCACTGGTTGTCATATTACAAAAGCAGTTAAGAGTTTTCCATGTTTCTCTTCCCAGACCAATCCCAGCTGTAGTGTGGTTTCATACCTTCCTCCAGGTGATGGTTGGTATCTCAGGGTCTCCCGAGGCAGCACAGGGGATGACCAGCTCTCTACCAGCCTCCTGGCGGTACTCCCCGCCAGGCCTCACGTTAAAGTAGGGGGGATCCTGTGGGCCAACACACACACAATGTCATAGACCAAGTCTCACAACAAGTCTCACCAAAAGGGGGAGAAAGAAGACTACACATATCACATTTGGTCAGAGGTTTCTTCCAGTACCAGTACCTTTAGCACCAGAGTGGCTGGGTCAGACTGGCCCATAGTACCCAGAGCGTTGTAAGGCATACAGGTGTAGGTGCCGAGGGAGTCTTCTGTGGCCTCCGCCACCCGAATACTCCCATCCGGCGCCTGGCTCCATCCGGGGTACTGGGACAGGAGAGAGGAGGTACACTTAACATCACAGGGATGCAATATTCTCCACAGCATGTCAGGGCCTGTATTCAAAGAGCGTTAAAGAAGGAGTGCTGATCTAGGATCCGTGTCCATATTATCGCATTCATTATGGTCTAAAATGGAAAACCTAAAAGGGATCCTAGATCAGCAATTCTACTCTGGGATACTTTGTAAACAGCTGTTATGGTGAATGAGGTGTAATCAGCATCAGTCTAGATAGACAGCGGCAGACTGAGACTGACCTTCTCCACTCTGAGAGGGTAGCCATCTTTCTCCCACTTCACTGATATCACCGGCGGGTTGGCGTCCGCCGGGCAGCGGATGACCCCTGGCAGTTTCCGTGGGACATATATGACGGAGGGCATGTTGAGCACACGGGCAGGGTCTGAGAGTCAGAGGTTAGAGGTCAGAGGTCAAAGAGGACAGAGCATGAGTTTTTGTGCAGATGGACAGGAGATGGTTTTAGTGAAAATAGACTGGAGCATAAAGTCTGAAACTGTTTAATCACAATTACAACTGCCAGGTACTTCTCCTATAATACGTTGGTCGGTATGGAAACCATTTAAGAAATAGTATTTTATAAGTTACTTAATGGCGGCCCAAGCTAGCTGCTAACTAATTGTCTTTAGCTATCAACTTGGATAGTACATAACAGGAAAAAAGGACAGTTCTGTAGACTGTCAGAATTGGTTTATCGTTTCAGCAAGGGGGTCTGGGTAACACTCTGAAGACAATCACAAACAGGCATGGTAGGAGGCAGAAGGGGTCTCTCCGATTCATCAGCGGAGAGAGAGAGAGAACAGAGAGAGAGAGAGGCGTAGAATGAGAGAGCAGAGAGGAGAGAGCGAGAAGAAGAGAGACGAGAGATAGAGAGAGAGAGAGAGAGAGAGATAGAGAGACGAGCTAAGTATTAGCGAGATATGAGATGAGAGATAGTAGTAGTATAGAGTCTAGATATATTCGATAGCCTATTATATCTCTCTAGATATCTCTCATCTCTACTCTCTCTCTCTCTCTCTCTCTCTCTCTTCTCTCTCTCTCTCTCTCTCTCTCTCTATCTCTCTCTCTCTCTCTCTCTCTCTCTCTCTCTCAGAACACAGAAATCAATGACCAGCGACTCCAGAGGAAATTAGCATAGTAGCAAACACGCTTAGAATGATGTTTAAAAAAAATGTCCGGCCTGGTGGCATTTCCCTCCCACATAGCAGATGAACTAAAAGGTCACCGTTTCAATTCAGTCCGGCACATTGAGGAGACCAGGACAGACTGAGCAGCATGCTATGGGGTGAGACTAGCAGACTGTCTCTGTCAGTGTCTAGCAATGGAAGATAAACAACTCTACAGAGACTGGAATCATAGATGGGAAAAAATGCTAAGAATATGGTGATGAGAGTGGCCCTGCCAAGATGATGAGTATTAGGAATATCTAATCATTCCCTCGTCCCGACCATTGACTCTGAAATTCAGCTAAAGGTGGAAAGGTTTCAGCAGGGCGATATGTATGGTACTGAAACACCAATGACAATACAGCAGCAGTGTTCTGGCTGCCACTATGCAGGCTGTGATACTGTTGTTTCTCATCCTGTTCCAGTACAGCCAGCCAGCCTCGTCTGCCCCTCCTCCTCCCTCCGTCGCCATGGTAACACTCACACTGAACAGAGAGGTGTGCTGATGCTGATGGTGGAGTTCCGAGGCTGTTGCTTGGGCTGCAGGTGTATTTCCCAGCATCCTCTGGTTTCACCCGGAAGATGTGGAGGGTTCCGTCGATGAGGATGCGGACTCGGTTTTTCAGGTCACTGCCGAGAGGAAGCAGACAGTTATCGAATATGCCATAACATAGAAACACACTCACACACTGGGGGCTGGTTAATGCAATTGCACAAGCCTGCCATGAGAGGGCAGCATTTGGTCAAATCCATCCAGGCTGAATAGGTTCCAAAAGATGGAGCAATTGTATGTCAAATAAATCCCCTAATTTCCACAATCACCTGATGTTGCAGCCCTCGTGTTTTCTCTCTCACTGCCACTTTAAATGAAGTACCCTCATGAAGAGTACACTGGCAGATATTCTATTCCTGCTGTGTTTCAAACAAAGAACAAACACACTGCACACCATGTTCATTTGAGTAATATTTGAGAGGACATTATGCAAAATAAATAGCAGAGGGAATATTTTCATCTAAACTATGAACTATGTATCTATTTGAGTAAATAAATTGTATGATTAGACTAAAAATACCATTTCATGATAGACTGTTGGCTCCAACGATAGACCAAAGATTGTAAGCAGCCCAACTAGGATAGTAGTGTCTTATCCTAGGGTTGATTATGCACAGCCTTTTTCTAGGCCTTTAGAAAACAATTTGAGATGGGCCTCTTTCTAAAGGACTCTCTGATAGGTTGATTCTCCCAGACAGACACTTGGTCTCCCTGTCACTTGTTCTTTCTAAAACGTCTCCATCACTAAACTAAAGCAGTGCTTGGGGCGAGTCTGACAGAGCTCCTGGCTACGCTTCAGATCATTACTACAGTATAAGAGGCATGTGGTATTGTCATCAGACCGCGCTAACCCGGCTGGCGTGCTCCAGACAGCCCCCTGCTAAGCCCTCTCTTACTGCTGCCAGACTACAGCAGGACAGGGCACCAGCACACACACACCACACAGTCATATTCACAACATTAGGACAGGGTCTGGAAGACCCAAATACGCCAAACACAGAACAAAAGACTTGAAGATCACAGGAGAGGACACAAGATTCTAAAGCCTTTAGATGACAGGGTGGAAAAGACTCAAAACCAAAGGGAAGGCACACAGACAAACAGACACACAAACAGACACTCGATTATAACTTTACTTCTTAGTGAAGTAGACGTTATCTTCCTCCCAAAACCAGGTGTATGTCAGGTTGCCAGGATACGCCTCTGCTTGACAGGTGAAGCGTGCATTCTGGGATATGTTGACAGTGATGTTCTCTGGCGGTGACTTAATATATGGTGGCCCTAGAGGAAACAAATAAAGGCTTTTAGTGTACAATAAAACCTACACTGAACAACAATATATTTTACTGAGTTACAGTTCATATAAGGAAATCAGTCAATTGAAATAAATTAATTAGGCCCTAATCTATAGATTTCACATGACTGGGAAAACAGATATGCATCTGTTGGTCACAGATACCTTAGTAAAAAGGTTAGGGGTGTGGATCAGTCTGTATCTGGTGTGGCCATAACTTGCCTCATGCAGCGTGAAACATCTCCTTTGCAGAGTTGATCAGGCTGTTGATTGTGGCCTGTGATATGTTGTCGCTCTCCTCTTCAATGGCTATGCGAAGTTACTGGATATTGGTGGAAACTGGAACACGCCGTCGTGCACGTTGATCCAGCGCATCCCAAACATGCTCAATCGGTGACATGTCTGGTGAGTATGCAGACCATGGAAGAACTGGGACATTTTCAGCTTCCAGGAATTGTATAGATCCTTGCAACATGGGGCTGTGCATAATCATGCAGAAACATGAGGTGATAGCGGCGGATGAATCACACAACAATGGGCCTCAGGATCTTGTCACGGTATCTCTGTGCATTGAAATTGCCATCGATAAAATGCAATTGTGTTCGTTGTCCATAGTTTATGCCTGCCCATACCATAACCCCACCGCCACCATGGGGCACAACGTTGACATCAGCAAACCGCTCGCCCACACGACACCATACACGCTCTATGCCATCTGCCCAGTACAGTTGATACCGGGATTCATCCGTGAAGAGCACACTTCTCCAGCGTGCCAGTGGCTCTCTAAAATGACGTTGGAGGCGCTTTGTGTTGTGTGACAAAACTGCACATCTTATAGTTTATTGTCCCCAGCACAAGGTGCACCTGTGTAATGATCATGCTGTTTAATCAGCTTCTTGATATGCCACATCTGTCAGGTGGATGGATAATCTTGGCAAAGGTGAAATGCTCACTAACAGGGATGTAAACAAATTTGTGCACAAAATTTGAGAGAAATTTGCTTTTTGTGGGTATGGAACATTTCTGGGATCTTTTATTTCAGCTCATGAAACATGGGACAAAAACTTTACATGCTGCGCTTATATTTTTATTCAGTGTAGATATGGATACTGAAATTATTATCTTATGACCCATTCAGACAGCATCTGTTTATTGTTACATAGGTACAGTAGACCCCTGGCACAGTCTTCTCTCTAGTAGCCTATGAGATACAATAAGCAGGCATATTGTAACTTGAACCACACACTTGGTTGCCAGACTTGCAGATGCCTCCACAGCATGAACCCTCGGTGCCCTGAGGTTGCTGCTCTGCTCTCTATCTCTCTGTACTATATTACAGACAGTGAAACGTAAGCTGTCTTTTATAAGTGGGCCCAGCTACAAGCCTCCTGATTATTTCCTTAATACACACTGAATGGCTTTTTACATCAGGAGGGACTACTGAAAGAGTGGTTAAGTCACAGAACAAATAAAAACAGATCATTTTAGTGAGAATCACGACTCCTCCGATAGCTGCTTGTAATTGCTCAGGGAGCCTTAGACAACTTCACTGGCACATTTCCACAGAGCCTGCTTATGGATGGATACTCCTTAGTGAAAAACAAAAACAGGCTGCAATTTTGCTGGTGTACAAAACTCATGATATCTGCAGATTTATTCCAATTCACTCTCGATTTGTAAAAGCCTTATTCCAACCATCTAAGACATGTATGAGGTTTATGAGGATGTTTCAGAGTCAGATCAATTCATTTAAACCTTTCCCCACACCTGTCAGCTGTTCTAGACAGCCCTCACCTTCCATGTATTATCAGGCATGTGCATGCAGTGTGTGTGTGTGTGTTTAGAGGTCAGTAGAGTAAACCTTCCTCAAAATCCACGATGTAACCAAGTACTTCTTGCCCATACTCCTTTCAGACACTTGCACATTGACTGAAATTGACACATCTTTACACCACCATCAAACCTAACAAGCCTACCATAAAACCAACCTGCTCCATCGTCTGTAATATACAGCCTGTTAGCTCATCCAGTGCTTGTTTTGATAGAAAGAGAGAGAGCGAGAGAATGTGTGTGTATGTGTGTGTGTGCATGCGTGAGTACGTTTGTGTGTGTGCGTGTTTGATGTAGACAGAGGCGTAAAGGCAGGAAGTTGAGGAAGCCTGTATCAGATCCATCTATCTGAGCAGAGCAGAGACCAGATCTGTGTCTGTCTAGCAAAGAGAGAGTCTGGTTAATGTACCGGAGACAGACAGTGATGTATGCCTCAGACAGACAGTGATATGCGCACACACACACACATACACACACACACACACCACCACCACCAGCAGCCACAGACTATGTCAGGAGAAGATTTAAGAGTATTGACTGATACAGACTAAACCATACGACCAGACTGATCAAATCAAACACTAACCCTGCATACTGTGACAAAGGCAGGAAACAGAGACTGTTTAAGTGGATAGCGGCAGGACTTAATTTCTCCATCTTAAACACAATCTAGACACTGTACTGCATAGCTGTACGTGTGTAATAGATGTTTAATAGCAGGTGTAAGGTAAAAATAGCCTAAAGATTCTCTGATAAGGGATCTTTCAGTATTCAGCCAGCAATTGTCCTAGGAACCTTCTCCTCAAAACTCATAATCAGTAATCAGTGTGCACCTCAATAGAGAAAAGTCATGATTTCTCCCTCACACCACAATAACAACCTTTGAAGTTGCATCCATCTGTGACGTTACAGTGTGACCATTACTCTCTTACCTTGGACCAGCAGACGGGTGGTGTGGAGCACCTCTCCCTGGTTGCTGAAGGCTCGACACGTATACGCCCCTCTGTCGTCCCGAGTGATCCCCAGCACCGTCAGACTCCCATCAAGCACCTGGGGTGGACATGTTTGTGAGAGACAGAGCAAACATACAGACATGGTATTTATAAGCATTACCTAGTGAAATGGCACACCAAAATCAAGGCAGGCTTGAGGTTTTCTGTCTTTGGTAGGAATGTATGTTTTATAGAGAGCATACAACCAATACTCTAAAGTCTAAACTCTTTATCATGTAATTCTCTAATTAATCTCGTTCCCAGACACTTCCGCAAAGAGTCTGGTGGACCAATGTGTCAAACTTGGCCTTCGTGAGCCAATACAGAGAGCCGGGAGAAACACCTTCCCCCTAACTCTCTCCCATACGCTAGCAAACCACAAGCACAGAGCCACGCCTTGCAGTTGTCTGAATCGCTAAAATTAAATGACAAATACTTTACTCAGGAGGTCACACCCATAGAATTCTATGGTCACTCCCACTTAGGAAAACTTTGAGTGGTTGATATCTCAGGCTTATATGCACTGTGCGCAATAGCCTGGGGATGAGGTTATTCTCTAATTAACTTTGGTTGTGATGTGAAGCTAATCTCTCCAAGCGGTAACCTGGGAAACGTCTCACTGTGCGCCTGTATTTCCTCACCCCTCTGCCGAGGAGGACACTGACAGGAACCAATAAACAGGGAGGGAAGACATTAACCCAACCTAATAAAAATACCCTAGTAATTTATGCAGTAGGGTTGCTGGGTTCTGTCCACTCAGGTTACACACAGCTGTAGCCCTGTCCATTCAAGCCAATGTGAGGAAATCTGCTAAACCTCTCAAACCTTTCAAACCTTTCAGCCAAGAGAGTTTAGCAGCCACTAGACACACACAAACAGTGGTCCATCCTGCCTTGGGTCAGCCCAGCTGAGGTAGGACTCCCTGTTAATCCCACTCCATAGCTGGGCCACAGTTATGACACAGTAACCTACACTACACTTGCAGCAGTGTAATAGTCAGCAGGCCGTTTTTATAGCTATAGGGAAGGAGAATGGGGAGGGGAGGATGAGGAGACGAAGGAGGAGGAGGAGGAGGACGATGAGGAGGAGACGAAGGACGAGGAGGAGGATAATGACTTTCAGACACAACATATTGATTAATGTGTGGGATCTCAAACAGCAGGGGGTGCTGAGATGATGACCATGATTCCTCCTCTTCTCTCCATTGTCACATTCCTGCCATTCTCTACCAAGTCCTCATGGACACCAGTTATCCATGGCGTGCAAACATTACCACCATCTCTTTACTACGATGGGAGTCCTCAAATGTATACACTATGGCTTGGTTTGGGTATATAAACGTTTTTCCAGTTTCCTCTCACAGCAAACCAACCACATGGAAATCAAAAGCAATTTGAGGGTTCAAACAAATCATAAACATATTCCACCCTCACTACCAATATGCCTAAATGCTGTCTGCATCAAAGCATGCATTTTGATGTGAGGCACTTGGCTCACCGTTGATATTCATGTTTAGTATAACATTCATATTAAGAATAATGTAATATTGATGCAGTAGGAGGGGGTTAATAATGCATGAGGAAGTCCTCCGATCATTTACTAAGGCAAACATGTTAAAGCCCTGGGCTCATCCACTCTGACCTTTGATGAAGCTGTGGTGTGGGAGCATTAGAGGGGTGAGAGAGAGGGATGAGAGAGGGGTGAGAGAGGAGTGAGAGCAGGGTGAGAGAGAGGGGTGAGAGAGGGTAGAAGAAAAGGATGAGAGAGGGATGAGAGAGAGAAACAAGAGAGGGGTGAGTGAGAGGGGTGAGAGAGGGAAGAGAGGGGTTAGCAAGAGAGATAAGAAAGGGGTTGAGGAAAGGAATGAGAGAGGGGTGAGAGAGAGTGAGGGGTGAGAGAGAGAGAGAGAGAGAGAGAGAGAGAGAGAGAGAGAGAGAGAGAGAGAGAGAGAGAGAGAGATGAGAGATGAGAGATGAGAGATGAGAGATGGATAAGAGCTGGGTAAGAGTTGGATGAAAGAAATGGGTGAAAGAGGGATGAAAGAAGGGTGACTGGCTAAGAGAGGGATGACAAAGGGATGAGAGAGGGGTGAGAGAGGGATAAAACAGAGGGCCAGCTCGCTCGCTGAGTGACAGAAACTATGACACGGGAATGAAGAGAGCTGTCACTTCCTGTACATCACACATCAAGTCCAAATGTTAGGTGCAGCCTTCAGCAAGCTCAGGGATTTACTCCATCTGAAACATCTGAGTGTAGGGGGGGCTGAGAGAGGGGGGAGAGAGGGGGTTGTCCATGGTTCACTGAGTTCCTTAAAGAGAACTGGAACACTAACGCAAAACATGACAAATGAGAGAGGGGGTGCAGCCGAGGCTTGACACGCCTGGACTGTTCTTCCTCCCTTCAGGGACCCGCCCTCTGCAGGCATTCTGCAGCCTGACTGACAGACGCTCCTGTCCAATCACAGACATGCAAGACAGTCCAATTAAGGGCTTCTCGATCTGCAATCTGTGTGCAGTGAAAAGTGTAGAGACAGACAGACAGCAGTCTCACATACAGTGCATTCGGAAAGAATTCAGACCCCTTTACTTTTTCCACATTTTGTTAAGTTACAGCCTTATTCTAAAATAGATTAAATCGCTTTTTCCCTCATCAGTCTACACACAATACCCCATAATAACGAAGCAAAAACAGGTTTTTAGAAAACGGAAATATCCCATTTACATACAGTACCAGTCAAAAGTTTGGACATCTACTCATTCCAGGGTTTTTCTTTATTTTTACTATTTTCTACATTGTATAATAATAGTGAAAACATCAGAACTATGAAATAACACATATGGAATCATGTAATAACCAAAAAAGTGTTAAACGAATCAAAATATATTTTAGATTTTAGATTCTTCAAAGTAGCCACCCTTTGCCTTGATGAACCTTTGCACACTCTTGGCATTCTCTCAACCAGCTTCATGAGGTAGTCACCTGGAATGCATTTCAATTAACAGGTGTGCCGTCTTAAATGTTAATTTGTGGAATTTCTTTCCTTCTTAATGTGTTTGAGACAAAAAGTTGTGTTGTGACAAGGTAGGGGTGGTATACAGAAGATAGCCCTATTTGGTAAAATACCAAGTCCATATTATGGCAAGAACAGCTCAAATAAGCAAAGAGAAACGACAGTCCATCATTACTTTAAGTCATGAAGGTCAGTCAATCTGGAAAATTTAAAGCGCTATGATGAAATTGGCTCTAATGAGGACCGCCACAGGAAAGGAACACCCAGAGTTACCTCTGCTGCAGAGGATAAGTTCATTAGAGTTAACTGCACCTCAGATTGCAGCCCAAATAAATGCTTCACAGAGTTCAAGTAACAGACACATCTCAACATCAACTGTTCAGAGGAGACTGCGTGAATCAGCCCTTCATGGACGAATTGCTGCAAAGAAACCACTACTAAAGGACACCAATAAGAAGAAGAGACTTGCTTGGGCCAAGAAACACGAGCGATGGACATTAGGCCGTGTCTTTGTGAGACGCAGAGTAGGTGAACGGATGATCTCTGCATGTGTGGTTCCCACCCTGAAGCATGGAAGAGGAAGTGTGATGGTGTGGGGGTGCTTTGCTGGTGACACTGTCTGTGATTTATTTAGAATTCAAGGCACACTTAACCAGCATGGCTACCAGAGCATTCTGCAGCGATACGCCATCCCATCTGGTTTGCGCTTAGTGGGACTATTTTCAACAGGACAATGACCCAAAACACACCTCCAGGCTGTGTAAGGGCTATTTTACCAAGAAGGAGAGTGATGGAGTGCTGCATCAGATGACCTGGCCTCCACAATCACCCGATCTCAACCCAATTGAGATGGTTTGGGATGAGTTGGACCGCAGAGTGAAGGAAAACTCCTTCAAGACTGTTGGAAAAGCATTCCAGGTGAAGCTGTTTGAGAGAATGCCAAGAGTGTGCAAAGCTGTCATCAAGGCAAAGGGTGGCTACTTTGAAGAATCTAAAATCTAAAATATATTTTGATTTGTTTAATACTTTTTTGTTTACTACATGATTTCATATGTGTTATTCCATAGTTTTGATGTCTTCACTATTATTCCTCAATGCAAAAAATAGTGAAAATAAAGAAAACCCTTGAATGAGTAGGTGTGTCCAAACTTTTGACTGGTACTGTAAGTATTCAGACTATTTACTCAGTACTTTGTTGAAGCACCTTGGCAGCGATTACAGCCTTGAGTCTTCTTGCATATGACGTTACAAGCTTGGCATACCTGTATTTGGGGAGTTTCTCCAATTATTCTCTGTAGATCCTCTCAACCTCTGTCAGGTTGGATGGGGAGCGTCGCTGCACAGCTATTTTCAGGTCTCTCCAGGGATGTTCGATCAGGTTCAAGTACGAACTCTGGTTGAGCCACTCAAGGACATTCAAAGACTTGTCCCGAAGCCACTCCTGCAAAGTCTTGGCTGTGTGCTTAGGTTTGTTGCCCTGTTGGAAGGTGAACCTTCGCCCCAGTCTGAGGTCCTGAGTGCTCATCTTTGCTTCAATCCTGACTAGTCTCCCAGTCCCTGCCGCTGAAAAACATCCCCACAGGATGATGCTGCCACCACCATGCTTCACCGTAGGGATGGTGCCAGGTTTCCTCCAGATGTGACGCTTGGCATTCAGGCCAAAGTGTTCAATCTTGGTTACATCAGTCCAGAGAATCTTGTTTCTCATGGTCTGAGAGTCCTTTAGGTGCCTTTTGGCAAACTCCAAGCGGGCTGTCATGTGCCTTTTACTGAGGAGTGGCTTCCGTCTGGCCACTCTACCATAACGGCCTGATTGGTGGAGTGCTGCAGAGATGGTTGTCCTTGTGGAAGGTTCCTCCATCTCCATAGAGGAACTCTGGAGCTCTGTCAGAGTGACCATCAGATTCTTGGTCACCTCCCTGACTAAGGCCCTTCTCCCCAGATTGCTCAGTTTGGCCCGGGCGGCCAGCTCTAGGAAGAGTCTTGGTGGCTCAAAACTTCTTCCATTTAAGAATGATGGAGGCCACTGTATTCTTGGGGACCTTCAATGCTGCAGAAATTTTTTGGTACCCTTCCCCAGATCTGTGCCTCGACACAATCCTGTCTCTGAGCTCTACGGACAATTCCTTCGATCTCATGGCTTGGTTTTTGCTCTGACATGCACTGTCAACTGTGGGACCTTACATAGACAGGTGTGTGTCTATCCAAATCATGTCCAATCAATAGAATTTACCACAAGTGGACTCCAATCAAGTTGTAGAAACATCACAAGGATGATCAATGGAAACAGGATGCACTTGAGCTCAATTTCGAGTCTCATAGCAAAGCGTCTCAATACTTATGTAAATAGGGTATTTCTGTTTTGTTTTTTTATAAATTAGTGAAAATTTCAAAAAACCTGTTTTCACGTTGTGATTATGGGGTATTGTGAGTAGATTGATGAGCGAAAAAAATAATTTAATCCATTTTAGAATAAGGCTGTAACATAACAAAATGTGGAAAAAGTCAAGGGGTCTGAATACTTTTTGAATGCACTGTATACTCAGGCAGATGGTGGTGTGTGCTGAAGATTTCCTCCAGCACACACAACCACACCTATAGACTGCCTTCCATGCTTTAACATGAGTTATGAAACAGACTGTATTTTAAGTTAAGACAATAACCTACTGTATTGCTACCAAAATAGAGTAGATTGAGAGAATGTTTTGGCGTCTGTGAAAGCTTTTACGGTATATCTACAGCTTAGTCTGAGTACCCAGATAGAAGAAAAATGCATGTTTTTAATCAAAACAAATCATACATTTTCACAAAAAGAGTGTAGCATTCACAACTGTAAATTGTCATCATTAGACTTCCCTAAACTGATCAAATCAAATCAAATTGTATTTGTCACATGCGCCGAATACAACAGGTGTAGACCTTACTGTGAAATGCTTACTTACAAGCCCTTAACCAACAATGCAGTTTTAAGAAAAATAAGAGTTAAGAAAATATTTACTAAATAAACTAAAGTTTAAAAAAAAGAAAGAAAGTTACACAATAGAATAACAATAACGAGGCTGTATACAGGGGGTACCGGTACCGAGTCAATGTGCGGGGGTACAGGTTAGTCGAGGTAATTGAGGTAATATGTACATGTAGGTAGGTGTAAAGTGACTATCCATAGATAATAAACAGTGAGTAGCAGCAGCGTACAAAAAATAAATAAATAAGGGGGGGGCAATGCAAATAATTCGGGTAGCCATTTGATTAACTGTTCAGCAGTCTTATGGCTTGGGGGTAGAAACTGTTAAGAGGCCTTTTGAACCTAGACTTGGCGCTCCGGTACTGCTTGCCGTGTGGTAGCAGAGAGAACAGTCTATGACTAGGGTGGCTGGAGTCTTTTACCATTTTTAGGGCCTTCCTCTGACACCGCCTGGTATAGAGGTCCTGGATGGCAGGAAGGTTGGCCCCAGTGATGTACTGGGCCGTACACACTACCCTCTGTAGCGCCTTGCGGTCGGATGCCAAGCAGTTGCCATACCAGACGGTGATGCAACCAGTCAGGATGCTCTTGATTGTGCAGCTGTATAACTTTTTGAGGATCTGAGGACCCATGCCAAATCTTTTCAGTCTCCTGAGGGGGAATAGGGGTTGTCGTGCCCTCTTCACGACTGTCTTGGTGTGTTTGGACCATGATAGTTTGTTGGTGATGTGGACACCAAGGAACTTGAAGCTCTCGACCTGCTCCACTACAGCCCCATCAATGTGAATGGGGGCGTGCTCGGCCCTCCTTTTCCTGTAGTCCACGATCAGCTCCTTTGTCTTGATCACGTTGAGGGAGAGGTTGTTGTCCTGGCACCACACATTGTTTTGGAGTCTGTGAAAGCTTGTATGGTATATCTACAGCCCAAGTACCCAGACCGAGGAAAAGGCATGTTTTTAGACGAATATTCAGTTTTAACAAAATGATCATCCATTCACAACTCAAATTGTCTTCATCAGACATGAGAACATTGTGTAGAGACTGTTTTGGAGTCCGTGAAAGCTTGTATTGTATAGCCTAGCCATACTGTTCAGTTGTTCTGAATATTTCCATACTGTTCAGTTGTTCTGAATATTTCCATACTGTTCAGTGCTTACTGTACTTTTGTTCCATAGTAAAAAAACAACAACATCAGGAGCAGTGACATCCTCAGAAGCCGTGGGGTGGGGGTGGTCTTAAGCATGCAAGACAGGAATAATATCTACGATTTCAACTTCACATCTGAATGACTCCAATACCTTAAAGGGCCTAATTATCTGGAATCCATATACATTCAAGGCTAATTTCCCTAAATATCAAAGAACGTCATGGCAGCCCTATAAAATTGACAAATCCAACATTAACCTGGACCTAAAATAGAGTCACTTTCACAGGCCATTTCACTGCTGATTCAAGGTTTAAAGGGCATGTATTTCTAGCCCGAGGTACAGTACATTTGTTGTCCAGTTTGGCTTACCGTGTATTTTCCACTGGTTGCAAGCTCCTCCCCCTCCCTCAGCCAGCCGATCATTGGTTTGGGGTTTCCCTGGGCGGAGCAAGTCAGCAGCGTGCTGCCCCCCTCCTTGGCCTCCACATACTGTGGGGGCGTGGTCGTAAAAGTGGGAGGGGCTTTGGGAGAGAAAAAACAGCATTAGCATATTTCCTATCCACTAAGAATATCTTAATTTCTTGAAGGTTTTAAAAAGTTGGGAATTTCAGAGATGTGGCATAGTGTTCAAATTAACAGCCTATCAAAAGTCTTTATGCCCATGCATATCTAACCAGCATTACACAGGGATGAGGAATTACTGCTAAAAAAATCAAAAACACATTGATAAATCCCTGAAGTTTACTCTTAAGAAATGTGTTCCCTCTTCAATATAGGCAAATATGACCTAATCTACTCTCTATGAACCCATTGAAGAGTATCACATCACAACCATCTAACAGAATACATCCACTAATAAAACCAATCAGTACAGCATACTGCTCAGCTGTTCCTGGGCCTCGCTAATATCCTTATGGGTTTATCATCTATTTCAAGCTAACTAGCTGCTACACTATGTCTCATGAGTCAACTTCATTTTCTATCTCAAGGTAACTCTGGTTCTAAACAGCAGCAGCATTGTGCCATCCAGGACGTACATGTCAGGCGGTGTCTGAGAAGGCCCCCAAAATTGCAAAAGACTCCAGCCACCCGAGACATGGACTGTTCTCCTTGCTCCCGTCCGGCAGACGGTACCGGTGCATCAAGGCTCAGACCAACAGACTCCTAAACAGCTTCTATCCCCTGGCCATATGACTGTTTAATGGCTAACAACTACTGCTCCCCCTCACACCTACGCTGCTGCTAAAATTATTATTGATTCGATTTATTACTACCACTACGTTGCTGTTCATTCATTATTGATTGCCGTTACCATTAGTATCTATCTATTTATCCAACTACTAGTCACAAGTACTCCTGTTTACATGTACAGTGCCTTCAGAAAGTATTCACACACCTTGACTTTTTCCACATTTTGTTGTGTTACAGCCTGAATTTAAAATGGATTAAATTAAGATTTTTTTTGTCACTGCACCCAATACACCCAATACCCCATAATGTCAAAGTGGAATTATGTTTTTCGACATTTTTGCCAATGAATAAAAAATGAAAAGCTGAAATTAGTCAATAAGTATTCAACCCCTTTGTTATGGCAAGCCTAAATAAGTTCAGGAGTAAACATTTGCTTAACAAGTCCCATAATGACTCCCGAGTGGCGCAGTGGTCTAAGGCAGTGCTAGCCTGGTTCGAGTCCAGGCTCTGTCGCAGCCGGCCGCGACCGGGAGACCCATGGGTGGCGCACAATTGGTCCAGCGTCGTCCAAGGTAGGGATGTGGGTTCGTTTACCACGGGGGGCCAGTATGAAGAAAAAAAAAAAAAAAAAACTACATGTATGCATTCACTAACTGTAAGTCGTTCTGGATAAGAACGTCTGCTAAATTACTTAAATGTAATAATAAGTTGCATGGACTCACTCGGTGTGCAATAATAGTGTTCATCATGATTTTTGAATGACTGCCTCATCTCTGTACCCTACATATACAATTATCTGTAAGGTCCCTGAGTCGAGCAGTGAATTTCAAACACAGATTCAACCACAAAGACCAGGGATGTTTTCCAATGCCTCGCAAAGAAGGGCACCTATTGGTAGATGGGTAAAACATTTAAAAAGCAGACATTGAATATCCCTTTGAGCATGGTGAAGTTATTAATTACACTTTGGAGGGTGTATCAATACACCCAGTCACTACAAAGATACTGCATTCCTTCCTAATTCAGTTGCCAGAGAGGAAAGAAAACGCTCAGGGATTTCACCATGAGGCCAATGGTGACATTAAAACAGTTACAGAGTTTAATGGCTGTGATAGGAGAAAACTGAGGATGGATTAACAATATTGTAGTTACTCCACAATACTAACCTAATTGACAGAGTGAAAAGAAGGAAGCCTGTACAGAATAAATATATTCCAAAACATGCATCCTGTTTGCAACAAGGCATTAAAGTACCGTATTTTCCGCACTATAAGGTGCACTTAAAAGCCTTTAATTTTCTCAAAAAACGACAGTGCGCCTTATAATCCGGAGCGCCTTATATATGGATCAATTGGTTAATTGGTTGATCCATACTGGTTGTACACGGCGCTCAGTCAAAATGTTTCAGTATGAAAAAACAATGAAAACAATTTAATAATAATTAAATGTTTCAGTACGACTGGTAAACTACAAAGCCGCACCGCTTGCAGCATTACGGCTACCGTAGTCAGTAAACACCGGTACTGTGCTTACTCACAGTCCCACACCACTTGTGTGTGTATAAAGACCCCAAAATTGTTGTTAGAACGCTTAATAAAGTTTGACTTTATCTGACTGTTTTGTTGACATTCCCTTTAGCACAGCTCCATCTAGTGGATGCATAACGCAACCCCAGTCAAACGTTTGACTGCAGTATCTTCTATTCTATGCGCCTTATAATCCGGTGCGCCCTATTTATGAAAACAGTTCTAAAATAGGCCATTCATTGAAGGTGCGCCTTATAATCCGGTGCGCCTTATAGTGCGGAAAATACACTTTTTGTCCTGAATACAAAGTGTTATGTTTGCGGCAAATACAATACAATACTGAGTACCACTCTACATATTTTCAAGCATAGTGGTGGCTGCATCATGTTTATGGGTATGTTTGTAAAGGACTGGGGAGTTTCTCAGGATAAAAAATTAATGGAATGGAGCTAAGCACAGGCAAAATCCAAGTGGAAAACCTGATTCAGGCTGTTTTCCACCAGACACTGGGAGATGAATTCACCTTTCAGCAGGACAATAACCTAAAACACAAGGCCAAATCTACACTGGAGTTGCTTACCAAGAAGACAGTGAATGTTCCTGAGTGGCCGAGTTACAGTTTTGACTTAAATCTACTTGAAAATCTATGGCAAGACCTGAAAATGGTTGTCTAGCAATGATAAGCAACCAATTTGACAGACCTTGAAGAATTTTTTTAAAGAATAATGGGCAAATGTTGCACAATCCAGGTGCTCTTAGAGACTTCCCGAGGAAGACTTACAGCTTTAAATCGCTGCCAAAGGTGATTCTACAAAGTATTGACTCAGGGGTATGAATAGTTATGTAAACGACATATTTCTTTCAATAGGTTTGCAATTTTGCAAGCTTTGTCATTATTGGGTATTGTGTGTAGATTGGTGAGATTTTTTACACTATTTAATCCATTTTGAATTCAGGCTGTAACACAACAAAATGTGGAATAAGTCAAGGGTTATGAATACTTTCTGAAGGCACTGTATATATATTACCACTAGTTATTACCATAAGTATTTATATATTCCTGCTAAAAGCCCTGTTTACATGTACAGTGGTGTGGAAAAGTGTTTGCCCCCTTCCTGATTTGTTATTTGTTTGCATGTTTGTCACACTTAAATGTTTCAGATCATCAAACAAATTTAAATATTAGTCAAAGATAACACAAGTAAACACAAAATGCAGTTTTGAAATGAAGGTTGTTATTATTAAGGGAAAACAAAATCCAAACCCACATGGCCCTCTGTGAAAAAGTGATTGCCCCCTACAACCTAATAACTGGTTGGGCCACCCTTAGCAGCAACAACTGCAATCAAGCGTTTGCAATAACTTGCAATGAGTCTTTTACAGCGCTGTGGAGGAATTTTGGCCCACTCATCTTTGCAGAATTGTTGTAATTCAGCCACATTGGAGGGTTTTTGAGCATGAACTGCCCTTTTAAGGTCATGCCACAGCATCTCAATAGGATTCAGGGTAGGACTTTGACTAGGCCACTCCAAAGTCTTCATTTTGTTTTTCTTCAGCCATTCAGAGGTGGACTTGCTGGTGTGTTTTGGATCATTGTCCTGCTGCAGAACCAAAGTTCGCTTCAGCTTGAGGTCACGAACAGATGGCCGGACATTCTCCTTCAGGATTTTTTGGTAGACAGCAGAATTCATGGTTCCATTTATCACAGCAAGTCTTCCAGGTCCTGAAGCAGCAAAACAGGCCCAGACCATCACACTACCACCACCATATTTTACTGTTGGTATGATGTTATTTTTCTGAAATGCGGTGTTACTTTTATGCCAGATGTAATGGGACACACACCTTCCAAAAAGTTCAACTTTTGTCTCGTCAGTCCACACAGTATTTTCCCAAAGACCTTGGGGATCATCAAGATGTTTTCTGGCAAAAATGAGACGAGCCTTAATGTTATTTTTGCTCAGCAGTGGTTTTCGTCTTGGAACTCTGCCATGCAGGCTATTTTTGCCCAGTCTCTTTCTTATGGTGGAGTCATGAACACTGACCTTAACTGAGGCAAGTGAGGCCTGCAGCTCTTTGGATGTTGTTGTGGGGTCTTTTGTGACCTCTTGGATGAGTCGTCGCTGCGCTCTTGGGGTAATTTTGGTCGGCCGGCCACTCCTGGGAAGGTTCATCACTGTTCCATGTTTTCGCCATTTGTGGATAATGGCTCTCACTGTGGTTCGCTGGAGTCCCAAAGCTTTAGAAATGGCTTTATAACCTTTTCCAGACTGATGGATCTCAATTACTTTCTTTCTCATTTGTTCCTGAATTTCTTTGGATCTCGGCATGATGTCTAGCTTTTGAGGATCTTTTGGTCTACTTCACTTTGTCAGGCAGGTCCTATTTAAGTGATTCCTTGATTGAGAACAGGTGTGGCAGTAATCAGGCCTGGGTGTGGCTAGAGGAATTGAACTCAGGTGTGATAAACCACAGTTGAGTTGTGTTATAATAGGGGGGGCAAACACTTTTTCACACAGGGCCATGTAGGTTTGGATTTTGTTTTCCCTTAATAAAAACAACCTTCATTTCAAAACTGCATTTTTTGTTTACTTGTGTTATCTTTGACTAATATTTAAATTTGTTTGATGATCTGAAACATTTAAGTGTGACAAACATGCAAACAAATAACAAATCAGGAAGGGGGCAAACACTTTTTCACACCACTGTATATCCGCCTATCACGCACACACTGACACTCTTGCACACACAAACACACTCACACTAACACCCAAACACTTACAAATACACACTCACCACCACACACACACCCACCCACCTACCACTTATGCTGCTGCCATACTGTTTACTATTATTATTATTTATCCTGCTACCAGTCACTTTCTCCTAATCCCCGCCTACATGTACATATCTACCTCAAATTACTCCAGTATCCCTGCACATTGAACATTCAGTATTGGCACTGACCCTCTATATAGCTTCCTCTCTTACTTCTCGTGTTTTCTTTATTATATATATTTTTTAATTTTTAATTTTATTAGCTATATTATTTTAGACATTGATTAATGCACTGTTGGGTAGAGCTCGCAAGTTAAGCATTTCACTGTACTTGTGCATGTGACAATGAAACTTGAACTGAACTTAGCTGAAGAGAGGATCACACTCTCTCTCTACCCAAGTGGGTCATGGCTAGCCGATGGGAGTCTTGTCTTCACTTCTATCTGCACACACACCTGGTGTGGAGTAAACAACACACCAATTAGCATCCCTCACTGCACAATGCTCCTGTATTAAGACCACCAGAGACTACCATTAAGGAACTTCTTAAAGTGATGCAGCAGAGTTTTAAAAAAAACATTTCAGCCAGTAGTTTTGAAAATAGCGCTCACGTGCCAAAACAGGTCCCCAAAAATTGTGCACGTCATCTATTTCCATTTTCCATTTCATATGATATGTTACGTCCTGCTGAATTGTATGATATGTTACGAAAGTGCTTAAGATCCCGTTCAATCTCTTTAACAGCTGTTCTAGGCATTCTCTCAATGACTGCTTTGGGTATTGTCATTCTGAAAGGTTACTACAGTACAGTATATTCCTTTCTGCACATTTGTAAGTAACCACCTCTGGTTTTTGTAGTGATTTACAATGCAAATGTGCTCTATGGCCAACCATATTGTGGATTGTGGTGTAGATTATTTTCTATGAACAGGTCTATATCTTTGATTCACATCTATAATGTGGTTTAGATGACCTAACATTTCTTTACACTAAGTAGCTGGCAAACGGGAGGTGGCATTTACTGCAAGCGGATTGGTCGACAGGGGAGTTCTTTCCGCCCATCAGGGTCAACACATCAGTACATATGTGTCACCAAGTGGTGAACTTTGGAGATGTTCTACAAAAAGCCATGTCGAGCATCACAATCTCGCCCTAATTTCCTAATTTTCACGTCTCCTTTATTTCTGGATTCAGATGCTTCTGTTTTCACACCACTCCCATCTGTAGAACAGATGGCCTTATAGCTCAATACCTGCTCCCCAACATTTCTCCTTCTCTCCTCCTCACTCTGATTCTCTGCCTTCCTCTCCTTCTCTCTCATTCTCGCCATCTCTCTTTCTCCTGCTCCCTGGAAGACTGCTCCTCGGGGATGCACAGTTTTTTACACCTTTTTTCTTTGATTTCCCTTTATGAGCAGATTTCAGACAAAATGAACATTTACAGCACAGAGCCAGCCAGAGTGGGAGAGAGAGCGTCTTTTCCCTGAGGACTGCTACTTACAGCAAGAAAGGATCATGATGCATTTTTATCGAATTGCAGCATATATTTAGCCCTTTACTGTTTACTGTACTTTACTTTCCATCCGCAACCCAACAACCATTTTCCCTCAAGGCATCAAGAGATCCCCTTAAAACTATTTGTCTCTGAAGTTACTGCAGCTGTGTGAGTTGACATGGTTTCTCTCACTTACGTAGTATTCTCTCACTCTATCCAAAAGCTGCTGATTTATTAGCATACTGTTAACTGATACCCGAGTGGCGCAGTGGTCTAAGGCACTGCATCGCAGTGCTAGCTGTGCCACTAGAGATCCTGGTCCGAATCCAGGCTCTGTCGTAGCCGGCCGAGACCGGGAGACCCATGGGGCGGCGCACAATTGGCCCAGCGTCGTCCAGGGTAGGGGAGGGAATGGCCAGCAGGGATGTAGCTCAGTTGGAAAAATTAAAAAAATAATAATAATAATGTATGCTCTGGATAAGAGCGTCTGCTAAATGAGTAAAATGTAAATGTAAAATGATACTAAACTAAGAAGAGAGGAGAGGAGAGGAGAGGAGAGGAGAGGAGAGGAGAGGAGAGGAGAGGAGAGGAGAGGAGAGGAGAGGAGAGGAGAGGAGAGGAGAGGAGAGGAGAGGAGAGGAGAGGAGAGGAGAGGAGAGGCACCACAGTGACCTCTCTGTCTTTCGGGCACAAGTTCTTGCCATCTGACACCTGCCACTGAGTGGGCATGCATCCTCTCTCCGTTTGGCAGGAAGTAGAGGGCAGCAAACAGGAACTCAAAGCAGGGAGTGTATCATATGTAGATTCCACTGGCCCCAGGAAATCGCTGCCTTTAGTATCTGTGATGAAGCCTGGCCAGGAGAGCACCTGCCTTCCCAACAGAAACCCTTTGAGAGGACATGCAGCCATGATGAGGCCTCTGAATGTTAATTCAACACACAGATGTCTCAAAACAAGCACAAACACTGCCAGCCATTTTGCTCTGGCTCTTTCAGTGGACATGAGAGCTTGGCTTCAGGTTCAGCCCCAACAGTCCCCGATTGGGAAAACAAGGCATTATCCTTATGCCCTGCACCTTACACTGCTGTAAACAAAGTATGGACAACCCAAATATTTTAGACTTGTTTTATATGAACTCAGACACCAACAACTGGTTCCAACACACAGGATAATGACACATCAAACACATTATCCAGACAACTCATTGATTGTGTAAAGGTCTGGGAGTAGGGGAGGGGGACAGCATAGGCGAGTGAGTGAGTGAGCTGAGCGTGAACACTGATGAGGCCGGCCATAGAGAGGCAGTGTGCCCGCCCGGCTGCCCGGCTTGCACAGGAAGCCATTCAAACCAAACACACACAGATGTTCACACACTCCCTCCCGCCCCCCTAGAGGCTGCGCAGGTGACACTCCCTGGCAGGGCAACCGTGAGTGTAACTCAGCAGATAGAGAACTCATTTAGCCACAGCCAAACGCACACACACCATTACACACACATGCATAAACACACGTGCACACTGAACCGCTGAAATACTGACACAGGTACCCTTACACACATGCAATGTTCTCAGACACAAATACACAGTGTGTAGATGCATGTTTGCCCACACGGACTCATTGATAGTCTCCCTCTTCTTAATCTCTAGTTTATCAGTTTCATAGTGACCATTAGGTTTACAGTGAACCGATGTTGAACCTCATCCAATGTCAAGTATACTGTATATGCATATACAATCAGTTACAGATTAGGAAGTTCATTATGAGAATATGCATGAGCCTCACACAGTGAGCATAAGTTCACACACCAAAAATACCTTTTGAGTGTGTGAATCTGACGGTATAAACACTAATAATATCTTCAGTCCTTGTGAGGTGTCTATCTGGAGGGGAAAAAAAAAAAAAAACACTGTTTAATGTTAAAATGTTTAATGTTAAAACATGACTCTAACGAAACGACTGCATTTGGTTGAGCTCATTATTGTCAATTTCTCCAAGACAAGTATTTTTTATTGTCTATTATAACATCTGACAAAATGAATACAATCAGAACCCATCAGAAAATACGAATATAAAACCGATTTGGTTTTCAGAAGATAAAATAGTGAAGATCATGGGCATCATTGTTACTTGACTCTAGATGGTCTTGAACAGAGCCATGCATTTAGAGAGCTGGGCCATTGAGGTTTCTGCATGATACTTCAACATTCTATGACAGCCTTGTTATCAACCATTAACATTACATGGAGAATATTTAACTGAACGTCTAGAATTAGAACAATATTCAACCTTCTAAAAGTTGTACCAACTCTGTAAATACATGGTTCTGGTCTTGAACAATGTACAGGAACAAAATACATAGATAGAAGCAGCTAGCCGCTAACCCAATTGGGCCTTCCTGGGAAGTACAAACGTGCAGAATTTCTTCCTGTCTGGTCATCAGTTTGATTGTTCCCAGACTATCCCAGACGTTCCCTGCCGGAACTGTGTCAAACAGGCCACAATCAATTCCCTTTCTCACTAGTCTCTCATCCCTTTATCACCAAGGCAATCTGAAATATGTCTGTCTGTGTGATGTTCCTGAAAAGGCATTATCTAAAATAATACCTAATTGCCACTCATCAGAGCTTTGGCATCTCAGAATAAACATAGACAGAGTGATAATAGGGAAAAGGCCATAAATCATGAAAACAATTATTTGGGGGGACAATTGATTGTACAGTACCACATAGAATCACTAAAAACCCAAACATCTGCCAAGTGATAAAACAAATCAGCACACTGAAATCTCAGACAGACAAGTCATTGTACCTCTACTGTATCTGACTGGCGAGTCAGAGAGAAGGAATGACTAAAATGTAAATGTAATAAAATATTCAGAATGTAGTTAGCTACAGTACAGCTATCTGAGGTAGACCAATGAAATCTGTGGCGGCATGGAATGTTAGCAAGCTATGAGGTGAACATTGTCATGAATCACTCGAGCACACACATCTGACAAGATTACATTGTAGAAACCCATTCCCCAAACCACACTTACCACACTCCAATATGTTGGTGCTGACAGTTAAGTGACTGTAAAGTGAAACAAATGGCACCCTATTCCCTATATAGTGCCCTATGGGCCCTGGTCAAAAGTTGTGCACTAAATAGGGAATAGGCTGCCATTTGGGACACAGCCAGTGACTCACCATTGACTGTGAGCTGCACCCAGCTGCCATTGTGGAAGGTGTTGTACTGCTGCTCCAGCATCAGGACCCTACACTCATACCAGCCCTGGTCCTCTGAGCGCACTGGGTCGATCTGAAGAGACGCCTTCCCATGCAGGCTGGCTCTACCTGGAGTGGGAGAGAAGAACACAGGTAGGGTCAGGAGTCAGGACTATAGAATTTGAGTTGATTCCAAAGGTACAACCAATATGGCCGCCAGTGTACACAAAGAGCACCATGAAGATGGACACCAATCAGTGTGATGCGCATATCTAAACATGGATGAAGCTTACACAGCTCTTTCATTATTCCACTGACTGTTCAATTAATTAATTACACTACAGTATCACACCCCCAACACACACCAGTATACTGGCATAGCGCTGACACAGACATCACACAGCTGACACATACGTAGCTCGCTCTGCAAACAGCATCTTCTCTGGTTCTCTGAGCAGGTTCATTTGGTGAGACAGTGGCCTTAGATTGTGCTGTTAGATAACCCCTAACCTATCCAGTTTGACTACAGATGGTTTCAATATAAAGAATGCTAATGCGAATGACCAAGGTCAGGGGGATTTGATTGGATTTGAATTTGAGCTGTTCCCAATCCATACTACTTCACAACCTCTCACAATAAACAAATTACCAACAGAACCTGGCCAGAGGAGAGCAGCCTGCCAGTATTAGGATTAATGGATAACATTACCTGGAGGGCAATATTTCTCGCTCTCTCTCGTCTGGACGCTTCCCAGCTAAGGTTGACTCTCTTCTTTCTCCTCTCCTCTCCATCTCTCTCTTTTTATCTCATACTCTCTCTTTCTCTCTGATGACCCAATCCTCAGTAGCCTATTCCAGCAGGCTATTGGGGAAACAAGCACTTATTATTGCGAAATCGCCTCGCTATTTATGTTGAATAAATTAGTGTGTTAATTTGAACTAAGCAAGCTGCTAAATCATTCAGTTTACATCTAGCCTACATCTTGTCTAGGCTACTGTAGACTATCTGAAATGAGATATAAGCTTATCAGGGGCTGTAGGCTACCTGCCTTTATCAAAGCAAACTATGGCAACATTTAATTTGAATCATAAACCCAGATTTTAGTCTGTAGCCTATGCCTATTGAAATGACAAGTCAATCTTGCAAATGGGCCATTTATAAAGGTTTGCAGTCTTAACATCTGGCACATAATAACAGCACAATTCCCAGAAAATAGCCTAACATTCGTTTTTTTATGTTCATCCAAGTGTTTCTTGCTCAGAGATTTCGAGATCCTCTGTTCAACTTCCATCACTCAAACTCTCCTGTCGGATTTATCTATAGAGTTATGTACATGCGCAAAGGGGATTCATTTACAATTATAAACCTGGTTCTAGCCCTGAATGCTGATTGGCTGAAAGCCGTGGTATATCAGAACATATACCACGGTATGACAAAACATGACTTTTTACTGTTCTAATTACGTTGGTAACCGATTTATAATAGGCACCCCGGGGGTTGCGTCGTGCTTAAGAACAGCCCTTAGCCGTGGTATATTGGCCAAATGCCATACCCCCTTGTGCCTTATTGCTTAATCATAGCAGTCAAGCGAGTTAAAGCAACATCCATTGATGGAAAATGATCTGGCGAGTTTAATCAGAGCAAATTATCTTTTTGCTTGTCACATATTCAAATTCCTTTATTACATCATGTCATAGCTAGCAATAATTATTATTTTGAGGAAACCCACATTTTGCTTCTAACGGTCGTTACATGTTACTATGATATTCCTTCTTAATTGGCTTGATAACATTATGGAAAAAAGGTTTATTGTATAGATATGGCAACTCCTCTCTTGCTGTGAAAAAAAATAATTGGGCTAGTTTTCAGGCCTTTTGGGCGGGTTTTGAGTGGTCATTGGGCTAGAAATTTTAGCTTGACCTGGCAACCCTGTCCCCAGCTCCCCATAGCTACCTGATGAAGCACAGGGATTGGAATAGGAAAGCTCTCAGTGTCAATAGTGAAAAAGACTGACTTTTCTTTGAAGGCTCAGGTGATAAATCAGAAATCTAAAAGTAGGAAGTCATGTCACAGAGGATGAGAGAAGTTGAGTAAACCAAGCATGTTGAAATCTGTCTCACAGCTTCCAACCCACTGCACCCACACGGCTTCTGCTACAGCCCTGACAGTCGAGCCAGATGAACAGATTGAAACAATCTCTGCTCTGTTAGAGCCGTGCCCTGGGACAAAGATCCTTTTCCAAACTTTGAGATGTACAGTGGGGAAAAAAGTATTTAGTCAGCCACCAATTGTGCAAGTTCTCCCACTTAAAAAGATGAGAGAGGCCTGTAATTTTCATCATAGGTACACGTCAACTTTGACAGAAAATCCAGAAAATCACATTGTAGGATTTTTTATGAATTTATTTGCAAATTATGGTGGAAAATAAGTGATGTTTTGGGGCTGTCGCTGGGCAACACGGACTTTCAACTCCCTCCAAAGATTTTCTATGGGGTTGAGATCTGGAGACTGGCTAGGCCACTCCAGGACCTTGAAATGCTTCTTACGAAGCCACTCCTTCGTTGCCCGGGCGGTGTGTTTGGGATCATTGTCATGCTGAAAGACCCAGCCACGTTTCATCTTCAATGCCCTTGCTGATGGAAGGAGGTTTTCACTCAAAATCTCACGATACATGGCCCCATTCATTCTTTCCTTTACACGGATCAGTCGTCCTGGTCCCTTTGCAGAAAAACAGCCCCAAAGCATGATGTTTCCACCCCCATGCTTCACAGTAGGTATGGTGTTCTTTGGATGCAACTCAGCCTTCTTTGTCCTCCAAACACGACGAGTTGAGTTTTTACCAAAAAGTTCAATTTTGGTTTCATCTGACCATATGACATTCTCCCAATCCTCTTCTGGATCATCCAAATGCACTCTAGCAAACTTCAGACGGGCCTGGACATGTACTGGCTTAAGCAGGGGGACACGTCTGGCACTGCAGGATTTGAGTCCCTGGCGGCGTAGTGTGTTACTGATGGTAGGCTTTGTTACTTTGGTCCCAGCTCTCTGCAGGTCATTCACTAGGTCCCCCCGTGTGGTTCTGGGATTTTTGCTATGATCATTTTGACCCCACGGGGTGAGATCTTGCGTGGAGCCCCAGATCGAGGGAGATTATCAGTGGTCTTGTATGTCTTCCTTTTCCTAATAATTGCTCCCACAGTTGATTTCTTCAAACCAAGCTGCTTACCTATTGCAGATTCAGTCTTCCCAGCCTGGTGCAGGTCTACAATTTTGTTTCTGGTGTCCTTTGACAGCTTGAGGTTGTGGACAGGTGTCTTTTATACTGATAACAAGTTCAAACAGGTGCCATTAATAAAGGTAACGAGTGGAGGACAGAGGAGCCTCTTAAAGAAGAAGTTACAGGTCTGTGAGAGCCAGAAATCTTGCTTGTTTGTAGGTGACCAAATACTTATTTTCCACCATAATTTGCAAATAAATTCATTAAAAATCCTACAATGTGATTTTCTGGAGAAAAAAAATCTCAATTTGTCTGTCATAGTTGACGTGTACCTATGATGAAAATTACAGGCCTCTCTCATCTTTTTAAGTGGGAGAACTTGCACAATTGGTGGCTGACTAAATACTTTTTTCCCCCACTGTATATATGTACTGTAAGTACTGTTGCTTGTTTGTTCATTTTGAATGTCAGGAAAACATATTGCCGTGGAGGGCGGGCTGGATTGCTCTTCTAGCAGCGCTGCATATAGATGCGATAGATAGCCTCTCCCTGGGACAGCTGCCATACTTGGGGATGAAAACGGCAGGTTTTTGTTGAGCAGGAAATCGATAAGGCAAAGGGAAGAGGGTAGAGGAAAGAGGGAGACTGCAGTCTTGCAGTAAAAAGGCGAAGCTTTAAAAGTCAGTCTATTTTTGCCTGGGTGATGAAGTGCTGAGTAGGGTAGGTGGTGGCGTGAAGGGTAGAGATCGACCTCAGGTTCAATCTGTCACGAGAGGCGTGCTGTAAACAGAGTTAACAATACTGTATACACATCAGGACCAGCCCTTCCTGGGCATTCACACACACTGTAATCTAACACTACTGCTGCCTACAGTGAATATGGCCCTATGGGTTTATTAATATCACACATAGGCTTCGATCCATTCCACTGCTGCAATAGCTGTAGAGAGAGGAGAGTAGAGTAGAGCTAAAGAGAGCCATGCAGCTAAACTTTCAGTTCTTTAAAGACCATAATCCCTCTGCAGGCTTTTCCCTGGCTCTGATTGGAGGAGAGACTGGGAATTGGGTTTGGGTGAGATGTAAGACCAGCCTGTCCCCAAAAAATATAAACTAAAAATGCACAAACTAAATATCATACAGTGTCTGAAGTATTGATTGTTAATTTGCGTGAGTTGGTGCAAAAATAGCTGATTTTAAATGTTAGATTTGCATATCACCTTGGCCAATTGGCTAACACACTAGAGGAGGAGCATACAATTTCTGTCTAGCACAGATTAAGACACTTGCCGAAGGGTAATACTCAGTCGAACAGTAAAAGTCTGTATTTTCCCTGCAAGAGAAAGGTTTGCCACCCCTAATCCACTTCAACATAAATACAACAAATACGATGTGAATCATAACCCCATTATTTAACATGATCTAAGATAGAATCCCTTGTAAAAGATAAGGTCATAGTGGAATTACAAAATAGACTGCAGTCTTCAGCTATGCCGATGTAAAGCTCACAGACACAGAGACAGAGAGGCATGAGAAGCTAGTTTACCCCCACATACCAGCTCTGCTACTGTAAAAGGCAATCCAGAACCTCTCATCTCCATCATGAATACATTTAGACCCAGAAATATAGGCTGAATACAGTACATTAAGACCCAGAAATATAGCAGTACATTGACTGCCTTGCAGGACTAGCCAGTCTAGCCGGGCAATGACAGTACATTTAGTCTCTGTTCCACCCAGATTAATTATTTACTTGGTGAGAAATGGGAAATGGGGATTCATGAGAATAGCCAGCCAGGCAGATCTTATACAGTGTGCATGTGTGTGTGTGTGTTTGTGTGCGTGTGTTAGGCAGCAGGCCACTCTGGCCTAGTGGGCCATGGTGAACTCCAGACACTCCAGACACACAGCTCCATGTAGACACAGAGAGGATATAGTCCCATTAAACACCCAGGGGAGGTTCTCATGAACCATGGCCCAGTCTCAACCATTATCACACTGTCACAGCTCTACTGTAACATGGCTTCCGTCCCCACAATACACTTTCATCTGGGCTGCAATGTGCATCAGCGTGTTAGTGCTGCCTCTGTTCTGTTCTGTTCTTTTCTGTAATTCCATAGCATTGGAACCAGGCTACATGGCAAATGCTCACTAGATCCTTGGCTCTTACCGGGGTACTCTGGGTCAACATGAGGAGGGTGGAAAGCTTGGCTCTTACCGGTGTACTCTGGGTCGACATGAGGAGAGTGGAAGGCTCTTACCGGTGTACTCTGGGTCAACATGAGAAGAGTGGAAGGCTTGGCTCTTACCAGTGTACTCTGGGTCGACATGAGGAGGGTGGAAGCGGAAGCTGATGAAGAAGGGGATGGGTACTCCGAACTTGAACCACTCCACCACGTAGGGGGGCTGCTGGCCATCCAGGGGAGGGGACACGTCACATCCCAGGATCACGCTCTCTCCAGCGCGCGCCGTCACAAACTGGGGCTCCTCTCTCACTCCGTGGGCAACTGGGGGGAAAAACAGGAGAGGTTATTTTAACCAAAGAGCAGAGGGTCTCTTAAAGAAGGAGGGAGGTAACGGTACAGTACATGTGCTGTACTGTTCTGTTCTGTTCTCGACCACTACAGCTGTGCTGACCAAGCAGAGAAGACATTGCTGCTTAGTTGCCCAATGCCTATAAAACACTAATTCCATTATAGCTACAGTGAGTGAACAAACAGGCCATGTAGCTCGTCAAAAGTAAGATTAACACCCCTGTCTACAGTGTTGGCGGCCCTTATAGGAACCAGTAGGTACTTCCATGGTTCTAGTACAGGACAGTCTGGCTCTGTACAGTTCCTGTGTCGTCATCTCTCCTGGTGAGAGCAAGTTCTGTCTGAGGCGTAGGTCACATACAGTACTGTAAATAAGTTACCAGACCCAGTCGGCTCCATTGATCAGAGCTGGCTGCTGCTCATATGGGCTTTACTATGAGCGCTACCAGGGCTGGGCTGGCGTTTAACCACGGATGTCCAGGCACACTGCCAAGGGTTGACCTATCGGACGGCTGAAAGGTCGGCCTACCTGCCTCAGCAGAACGCTCACTCTGGGAATGGATTTTGTCCAGCTGCCTCCCCCGCTCTGCTCTCATTGAGCCAGCCTGGATCTCTGGATCCCCTCCATCAGACTGAGCATGGCCGCCCCTCCACCCTCCCCCTCCCCTCGCCACGGGGGGGAACATCGCTTCAGGGATCAAGAGACATGCTGACGATTCACTCCCCAGAAACACTGGCTGAATAGCTTAGCGCTTTCATTAACACTATCACTTGCATTATGGCTGCTAATGTTTTCAGGAAGTACACCATCCAAGTAAAGTAGTGGTAAAAAAAGTATCCGCCTCAGGATGGGGTAAAGGTAGCAGTACGATTCTCTAGGTAGGTTTCTGTAATGGAACTCATGCCTTGTGTTGTGTGTGTAAACCATTGTCAGTGTTGTGTAAAATAGGAAGCGCTACGGTTGCCATTGTTCCTTTCCAATTAAACACCCTCAACTTAAAACCCCAAATATTTTCTCTCATTCCTTTTCTTTCTGTCACGATCGTCGTTAGATGAAGCGGACCAAGGCGCAGCGTGATATGCGTACATACTTTATTAAATGTACAACACGAACCAAAACTACAAAACAAATGATACGTGAAGTCCTGTGTTGAACACAAACCTTACGGATCAAGATCCCACAATAAACAGTGCCAAACAGGCTGCCTAAGTATGGTCCCCAATCAGAGACAACAAGCTACAGCTTGTTGGGAACCACCCTGGCCAACATAGAAATACACGAACTAGAACAAAACATAGAAAACTAAACCATAGAAAATCCACACCCTGGCTCAACATTTAATAGTCCCCAGAGCCAGGGCGTGACACTTTCAGTGATAAAGCCTCTTTACCTCTACTACAGGCTCCACCCCTGAAGGTCCTATGCATCAGTCAGTGATTGTGTTTACCATTTTAATCTGCTTTATCCGGTAGAAGAGTTAATCCACTTTATGTGATTTAGCCAGCACAGCTTTTGGACTGAAACAGAGCAGATTTAATCAAATTACACTTTATGTTAAAGTGGAGCCGTGGTCTGCCAGTCACGGGCCTTCCTCCTAGAATCTGCTCTGCCATTGTGTCTCTCTGGTAAGCAGTGCAAAAAAAGGCAGCGTAAAAAGCCATGGCTTAGAGTTAATGACTGGCCCACTGGAACACATACGCCGAGTCACTGGGCCCTGCACATGACCACAATACAGCCTGTAGCTAAGACCTAAAGCCTTGGCTAAACAAACCAGCAACACAGCCTACACAATCATCATAAATTAGACTCGAAGAGACCACTTACAGAGAAGGGAACGAGTAAAGAGCACCTATAACTGCTATCTAAAGCTTAAAATGCATAGACTTATCATACTTAATGAAAGTAAAAATGTGGCACTTTCAGTGTAATGGTACAAAGCAGCAACGGACACACACTGATAAGATGCAGGAAATGGAAGGAGAACATCAGTAGCATCAGATGCATCAGTGACAGAGAGAACTCAGTGAGAGGGGGCTAAGTGATGATGGCTGGAGGGTGGTAGACATGGTAGAGGGGACTGAGTGGTGATAGCTGGAGGGTGGTAGACATGGTAGAGGGTACTGAGTGGTGATGGCTGGAGGGTCGTAGACATGGTAGAGGGTACTGAGTGGTGATGGCTGGAGGGCGGTAGACATGGTAGAGGGGACTGAGTGGTGATGGCTGGAGGGTGGTAGACATGGTAGAGGGGACTGAGTGGTGATGGCTGGAGGGTGGTAGACATGGTAGAGGGTACTGAGTGGTGATGGCTGGAGGGTCGTAGACATGGTAGAGGGTACTGAGTGGTGATGGCTGGAGGGTGGTAGACATGGTAGAGGGTACTGAGTGGTGATGGCTGGAGGGTGGTAGACATGGTAGAGGGTACTGAGTGGTGATGGCTGGAGGGTGGTAGACATGGTAGAGGGGACTGAGTGGTGATGGCTGGAGGGTGGTAGACATGGTAGAGGGGACTGAGTGGTGATGGCTGGAGGGTGGTAGACATGGTAGAGGGTACTGAGTGGTGATGGCTGGAGGGTCGTAGACATGGTAGAGGGTACTGAGTGGTGATGGCTGGAGGGCGGTAGACATGGTAGAGGGACTGAGTGGTGATGGCTGGAGGGTGGTAGACATGGTAGAGGGTACTGAGTGGTGATGGCTGGAGGGTGGTAGACATGGTAGAGGGTACTGAGTGGTGATGGCTGGAGGGTCGTAGACATGGTAGAGGGGACTGAGTGGTGATGGCTGGAGGGTGGTAGACATGGTAGAGGGTACTGAGTGGTGATGGCTGGAGGGTGGTAGACATGGTAGAGGGGACTGAGTGGTGATGGCTGGAGGGTGGTAGACATGGTAGAGGGTACTGAGTGGTGATGGCTGGAGGGTGGTAGACATGGTAGAGGGGACTGAGTGGTGATGGCTGGAGGGTGGTAGACATGGTAGAGGGTACTGAGTGGTGATGGCTGGAGGGTGTAGACATGGTAGAGGGGACTGAGTGGTGATGGCTGGAGGGTCGTAGACATGGTAGAGGGGACTGAGTGGTGATGGCTGGAGGGTGGTAGACATGGTAGAGGGACTGAGTGGTGATGGCTGGAGGGTGGTAGACATGGTAGAGGGTACTGAGTGGTGATGGCTGGAGGGTGGTAGACATGGTAGAGGGGACTGTGTGGTGATGAGTCTGTATAAGACTTATCAGAGAATTCGATACTTCAAGAGGCTCAGTTTCCCAAAATCGTGCCCTCTTGTATCAATTTAAAATATGTTTATTGACTCAACATTTGTGTCTTCCAAACGAATAAATTAAGAGGCCTCCTGAGATGTGTGTACTCTGGGTTTGGGGAACAGCAGTGCTGAAACCCATTGTTTCCCTGCAGACAGTTCAGGTTTCAGGAGTTCACGATTTCTGCCTAACATTATTTTTGGATCCTAGAGGAATTACCATATAGACCCAGAATAATATACTGCTGGCTAATAACTCCCCAATCGCTTTATGAGATCATCACAAGGGGACGATCAGCACAGGCCCGGTGACTGCTACCGCCGTTTTCATTTCCTTAATGGAGACACAGTGACCCGGCAGGGTTTATAGGAGCTTTTTCAAGGGAACATATTTACGCTCTCAACAAGACATAAATGCCAGCTGTGCAAATCATGATACAGGCCCTCTCTGTTCTAACCTACACTATCTCTTCCCAGGCTGAGCTTTTCTCAAAGACCAGGTGTCATCACTGAGGCACCGATACATCTAACAGAAAGATCACAAGTCAATATATTATAGCCTGCCCTATATTAGTTTAGTATTGTAAACCTTCTTAGACATCTAATTCAGCAACTACTGTATGTTTTAATGTATCCTAACTCCTAACTACAACTAACAGCAGTGCTGATCCTGCTCATAACGAATTCCTGAAGGGATGACTTTATCCAATACACTCTGCTGCTGTCTGTATCTGTCAGGTACATTAGCTAAATCAGAGGCAGTTCATGTCCCAGAGCACAATGCAGGGGAATAATTCCAGATTATTTGGCACCAGTTAAATAGGCAGGTTCACTACCAATACTAAAGCCAGTTACTCACTGCAAGCAGCCTCCTTCTGTTGCAGCTCACTTAATCAATAAAATACAGTGGGGAAAAAAAGTATTTAGTCAGCCACCAATTGTGCAAGTTCTCCCACTTAAAAAGATGAGAGAGGCCTGTAATTTTCATCATAGGTACACGTCAACTATGACAGACAAATTGAGAAAAGAAAATCCAGAAAATCACATTGTAGGATTTTTAATGAATTTATTTGTAAATTATGGTGGAAAATAAGTATTTGGTCACCTACAAACAAGCAAGATTTCTGGCTCTCACAGACCTGTAACTTCTTCTTTAAGAGGCTCCTCTGTCCTCCACTCGTTACCTGTATTAATGGCACCTGTTTGAACTTGTTATCAGTATAAAAGACACCTGTCCACAACCTCAAACAGTCACACTCCAAACTCCACTATGGCCAAGACCAAAGAGCTGTCAAAGGACACCAGAAACAAAGTTGTAGACCTGCACCAGGCTGGGAAGACTGAATCTGCAATAGGTAAGCAGCTTGGTTTGAAGAAATCAAGTGTGGGAGCAATTATCAGGAAATGGAAGACATACAAGACCACTGATAATCTCCCTCGATCTGGGGCTCCACGCAAGATCTCACCCCGTGAGCAAAAATCCCAGAACCACACGGGGGAACCTAGTGAATGACCTGCAGAGAGTTGGGACCAAAGTAACAAAGCCTACCATCAGTAACACACTACGCCGCCAGGGACTCAAATCCTGCAGTGCCAGACGTGTCCCCCTGCTTAAGCCAGGGGGACACGTCTGGGATTTTTGCTCACCGTTCTTGTGATAATTTTACCCCACGGGGTGAGATCTTGCGTGGAGCCCCAGATCGAGGGAGATTATCAGTGGTCTTGTATGTCTTCCATTTCCTGATAATTGCTCCCACAGTTGATTTCTTCAAACCAAGCTGGTCCTCTGTAGCTCAGCTGGTAGAGCACGGCGCTTGTAACGCCAAGGTAGTGGGTTCGATCCCCGGGACCACCCATACACAAAAAATTTATGCACGCATGACTGTAAGTCGCTTTGGATAAAAGCGTCTGCTAAATGGCATATTATTATTATTATTATTATTATTACATTTGCTAGAGTGCATTTGGATGATCCAGAAGAGGATTGGGAGAATGTCATATGGTCAGATGAAACAAAAATATAACTTTTTGGTAAAAACTAAACTCGTCGTGTTTGGAGGACAAAGAATGCTGAGTTGCATCCAAAGAACACCATACCTACTGTGAAGCATGGGGGTGGAAACATCATGCTTTGGGGCTGTTTTTCTGCAAAGGGACCAGGACGACTGATCCGTGTAAAGGAAAGAATGAATGGGGCCATGTATTGTGAGATTTTGAGTGAAAACCTCCTTCCATCAGCAAGGGCATTGAAGATGAAACGTGGCTGGGTCTTTCAGCATGACAATGATCCCAAACACACCGCCCGGGCAACGAAGGAGTGGCTTCGTAAGAAGCATTTCAAGGTCCTGGAGTGGCCTAGCCAGTCTCCAGATCTCAACCCCATAGAAAATCTTTGGAGGGAGTTGAAAGTCTGTGTTGCCCAGCGACAGCCCCAAA